GACCTTTAGCCATTTCGTCAATCATTTGGTCAATAATAAGGACAATAATATGGATAAACGTCCGACAGTGGCTCAGTGAATTGGGTGTAGCTCTGACACCACCCAGGGGAAGAAAATGGATGGCTGGGTGGACAAACATGTGAAAATGTTAACTAATCGCTTTATTGAGATAATCTGGAACTTTTGATACCTGTAAGTGTTCATGTAAATGCATTAATCTCTATTGGTCAAACTTACTTATAGTTTTGAGAAAATGAAAAGAAATGCACATACATATAAAACAGCTTTAGGGTAGTAAGACTAAAGAGGTCCTGATGGTTTCAACAATTAAACTTTTTTTGAGCCTGTGAAATTGTGTATACTGTTCATTCAGCAAACACTACTTATGGTTTATCAGTCAGGGGTAGGATCTACCCTGGTAGATACTAAAGTTATATAAACTGTTACAATTATAAATAAATATGCAAAATACTACAATAATGAACTTAAAATGATTTTGATCTGAAGGTGACCGTATTACTTTGTGATTAATACAAAGTAGAGAAAGACAGTTGAAGAGGCCTCCCTAATTGTATTAAAAAGACAGTCTCAACAAACAAAATTATACTAAAAATGTATATAAATGTAAAATCTAGTGTGAGGCTTTAGGTTGAAAAAGCCAATCGCAGCTACTATGCACTACACAAATGGGTGATTGGCTCTGATTCATAAAGAAAGAGTCGCAATCAGCTCTGCAATCAGCTCTGTAATCAGTGTGTTGTGTCCATTCATGGCATCTTGTGTCGGAGCATTGACCTCTGCTGCTCTGCCTCATCACCAGGGCCTGTTTTAACTCTCTCCCTGAACCACTCAGACTGATTCCAGCTTCTATAACCAAGTCCTTCAGGGCGGCAGTTATGTCAGCATCTTTTAGCCAATCATACAGTTGAGCAGCATGAACAAGTCCATGCATGTACCTAAAGAGAGTTTTCAGAACTGTGATGTCAAGATGTGAAGAGAAAATAAGGGGAAAAAAATCTAAATTAAGAAAAAAGAAAAAGAAAAAAAAGAGAAATATTTGTGGGAAGCATAGACTGGGAGTGGTTAACCCAGTGCTGATATCATCCATAGTGTTTGAAAGCTGATTAGAGCGAGATCAAACAGGCTATTTGAGCGAGAAATTTGGAGCCAAATGTATCAATTTTTTTTGCAATATATGTCATACATGTTACAAGTTGGGATTGAAGTTATTTAGTTTTTCCCTTTGACAGCTTTATTTGAATGCCTTACCTGTAGTTGAACAGGTAGACAATTATATTTTGTATAATTGATACAAGAATGTGATTTACAAATGTACTTGTGTGTGAACATTTGGAGTGTGTGTGTGTGAATTTTTACTGTATGCTCTTTGTGTTGAGGTTTTGTAACGAGGCGACTGTCAGCTTGGTGCTCATCAGCCCTCATTAGAAGTGTTGCTTACACTTCAAATCTCTTTACCCACACAACCACACACACACACACACACACACGCACACACACACACACACACTCACGTGCACACACTCCTTCATCCCCCTTTCTCGATACAAAGCCCCTTCTGTTTGTGGACATAACTGCAGGAGAATAGGGAGAAAGGCCTAACGACCGGAAGAATAAGGTGAGCTGCAGAGTCCGATCAGAGATTCTGGCAGCAGTCACAGAGGCTTTGTAATTGGTTCATGGCAGATGAACAGCCGGGATGGTTTGGACATTGGAATTTGGGCTTTGTGTTGCATCATGGTCAATGTCCTATCAGTCTTCAGAAGAATATGGCATCAGGAATCACAGCAAAAAAAAAAAATCACTAAACGAATAGTTATCAAAGCCGATATGTGCAGAGCTTTTTGCCAGCTGAGGTCGTGCCTGAACACTTTCCTGGAAAGCATTTTATTTATAAACAAAAAAGCTGTGTCTCTGGGTGTGTGGGAACACCAGAGGAAGTGTGTAAAGAAAAATGTCTGCGCCTCCTTGTTCAGACTACAGACATCCCAATCCAGATTGGATGGGCATTGGTCTGCGCATTTTACAGACCAAGGTCACCCAAAGCGCTTTACAATGTTCAGAGGTCAGATATGGTTCCTATCACTCCACACACGATGGGAGCAAGTCGCCGAACACACTGGCGCATCAAAGCCCCCAATCAACACCATCCATTCACTCTCTCATCTACATTCATATCTATTGTGCATGTTTTTTAGTGGTAGAGGAAACCTGCGCAGACACAGGGAGAACATGCAAACTCCACTCAGAAAGACCCAGTTGAGAAGAGAGAGCTATCCACTCAGCCACCGTGTCAGCCACTGTCACACCTCATGTGTTATTACCAGTGTAAATGAGACTTTTTTTTTTTTTACAGTTTTCTGTCACTAAATCCGCTGAAATGATTGCATATTGTAACAGTATACACACAACTCCATAAATGTTCACTTCAGATCAGTATCTCACAGAAAGAGCTGAAGAGAAACACAGAATGTTCCCGTTGAGCTTCAGCATGTAATGACAATTTTGTCTTGAGAAGCCTGAGTTGATAAAATAGATGCAACAAATTGATATGCATTGAAGTAACAAAATATGGTACAAATCCAATTCAAAATGTGTTTAGTTACAGGCAGTGAATTGTCTTAAGAAGGATAATTAATGCAGAGGTTATTTTGTACATTCAAGTCTTTTAAATAATTGCAATTATGCAAAACTGAGCGTTACCTCAATGATTCCTTTGTTTTTACCAAGATAGCGATTCTTTGTGCTCCAGTAACCACAGCAAGAAAACTATTTATAAGAGTTGTTAAGCTTAACTAAGTAGATTCATTGTTTAGCAAAACTCATGTTTATCAAGTGACTAGATACAGAGTTTGGACTTGCGGCAAAACAACCATTTCACAGACACACTATGAATGAAGAGTGCGGAAACATTGGTAAAAAACAATTGGCTAAACTTTTGTTCCCCTTTATAACAATCATAATATAATGCATTGTATCTTGCCTAAGGACACAACAAGGTTTGGCACTTTAGAGCCGCAGCCACCCCACTGTGGCACCTGATGTTCCCAGAGGTCTCCCATCACAGATCTAGCTTTCACATTTTATATTTTATTCATTAATGCAATACTGCAGCAATGAGTTTGTGAAATTCTAGAAATATATGAGCAAGATAGTCTTCTGAAACTTAGAATTATAAGCAAGAAAAATTCAATCATTTATAGTCGTCAACTATCAGGTTGGGTCCATTTAAGTGTTGAGCCAGTTTTTTGCTTTTAGAGCACAGTTTAGAAAACATGTTTTGAGGTAAATGGCGATGTTGAGGTAAACAAAATAAGCCATTTTTTACAAGAAAAAGTACAAATGATCAGATACCAAGGGAAAAGTACAGTGATATCTCACAACTCTGTTAATGGTGTATTCAGAATTCATGTAAAATCCACTCATTCACTTAACTCGCTCACAAGGTGCAACATTTGGAAACTATCTGTACAGTTTTCGATTTTGACAGTGTTTGGAGGACATTTAAGGACATTTATGGACATTGGTCATCTGCCCCCAATAGACCTCCTACAGTATGTGTTTCTCACTAATGCATTTCCTGTGTTGAACTTTTCTATTCTCCGATTTGTTTTGGTGAATCAGCAACTTTGTTCATTTGTTCCTTGCCTCATCTGCCCATGACCTTTGAGTATGAGTTATAGTATGTTGAGAACAAACTAACAAACTGATGAACAATCCCTGGCAATTACAGTACCCCCAGTGGAGCTCTTTTTAACATAGTCGTGGCAATATGCAGTAAGTAGATCACTTTATGTACTTCAATATTCAACACAAAAGGTTTATTACACAGCCTATGATTTTCTGTATGTTGCCTTGGAGACGCGAGCTGAGGCCTTGGTGTGTCATGTATGATACTCATGAGCCACTATTTTTAGAGGGAGATGGTGCATGGGAGGGTTGAATGCGACAGTCACAGGAGCTCTGTTTGTAGCTGCACGGTTAATCACAATCTAATGAAAAACGCTATTTTTGGGTATATTTTAGAATTATGTTTCAGTATTGAGTTCAATACAAACATAAAAGGGACTAAAGTTGAGCAAAATAATCACACTTTGGGAAAATTTTGCATGATTAGTGAACAAAATGATCACTAATGATCACTAACCAGAATGTATCTTTGATCTTGTTGTCGGGCAGAAGATTTTCTCATAATTTTATAATTTTAAGAATCAAAATGTGTTTGACTCAGGTCTGACAATAAGAACTTTATGAGAGAAGATACAGTAAACCGTTCAAGCGGTTGTATATATTTAGCATTTTGCACTGAATATCTGGACTAGAAAATAAAAATGTTGTACAATAGGTTAGAACTGCTTCGTACACTTTTTCAACTCTCTTGAATTTGTTATTTTTAATCAGATAAAACGGTTAAAAGGTATGAGATATTATAAAATGCATCACAATCGCAATGTTGGTCAGAATGATTAGAAGTAGTTATTTTTATAAAAGCGTGTGTACTTCTGTGTGAGTGTGTATGCATGAGTGTGTGTGTGTATCTGTATAAGTAAGTAATCTTTATTTATATACCGCCTTTCTCAGAGCAGAGTCACAAAGAGGTTTACAATTGTAGGCATTTGTCTCTCACACCACACAGAGATGGAAGCGGGGTCGCCAGTACTGGAGGCGCATGCATGCCAGACCTATTGTACGTGTTTTTATTGGTAGGGGAAACCGGAGTACCCGGAGGAAACCTACGCAGACACGGGGAGAACATGCAAACTCCACTCAGAAAGGCCCTGGTCCAGCCGGGATTCGAACCCAGGACCTTCTTGCTGACATGCGAGAGTACTATCCACTCAGCCATCGTGCCGTGTGTGTGTGTGTGGCCGTGTCGTGTGTTTTTTGTGTGCTTGCTTGTGTGTGGCCTTTTCATGTTTGTGTGTGAGCATGTGTTTGTGTGCATGCGTGTGTGCCAACGTAAGTATGTATGTGTGTGTTACCTCCAGGTCGTCCAGGGAGCGGGCCAGGCTCAGACGTCTGGAGCGCCCAAAGGAGCGGCGTGCCGAGGAGCGCCGGGCCGGTGAGCGCTGCGGCAGCGGAGGAAAACCCATTGTCAGGCCACGAAACCGACTGCCCTGAAGCAGACAACACAAACGTGATGAGAAACATGAACAATGCAGTGATTTAAAGGGGATTTCTTCAACTGTCTTGGTGGTGACCCACTTTCAATGATTCGAAACCTTCTTCATGTTATGTATAACATGTATGTTCTCATTCGTTATGGATGATTTTAGAAGGCTTGCCTCTCCACTGATATAACTTGTAACATAGCCAAGTCACATGGTTGTTTATATAAAAGTTTCATGACAAAACAACAAGATTTAGATTACATATTTGCAGTTCACATTTAAGACCTTTTAATCAGTTCTGTGCCCCAGACTAACAATATTGTCCAAGAGCCGTAATAATAACGCATTAAATGTATTTAAACATTTAAGCCTGAGTTTACATTGTTAGTCTCTTAAAATCAACTTCAAAGTGAGTCAGCTAATGAACCCTATGGGCATTTCATAAGAATGCAAGATATACTGTAATCTATACAATACAATACAATTTATTCTTGTATAGCCCTAAATCACAACAGTAGTCATCTCAGACCATCTCAGACCAAAACCATCGAAATCACCAACACAGATCAGAGAATCAAAAGTTAAGACACAGAAAATACACACATGTATTGGTCCATGACGAGACCAATGTCCATAAATCTTGATAAATGTCAACATTCATGGAAATTATTTGCAATCTAAGCAATTAGCAAATTATTGCAATTATTAAAACAACTTTACTTCTTCAATTTCTTCAAAACAGAAGTAACAAAAGTCACCAACAATAAAAAAAACCTAAATATTACGCATCTTTTTACAGGGAGTAAGTACACTTTTTTCTTTCCAATCAAAACGGGAGCTTTGCAGTGATAAGTGATTCTGGGTAATGTGGCAAAAAGTAAGACTGGTAAACACAAACTGGATTTTGGTTTTCTTACATGTAACAAGTGATCAAAGAATACTGAATAGTGTGATATCATAATAACACAAAAATTGACTTTCTGATTACACAAACAGGCCGGTGGGAAAAAGCAGCCCTCCTCGTGAGAATCCACTCATACACAATCATAATTTTGGTCTGCTATGCCATAAATAATGTCAATAACCAAGATAGAAAGTGTAATGTCTGAAAACACTGACCAGAAGAATCCTAATACTAAAGAAACCATTAATCAATGTCATTAGTCAATACCGGACACAAGCACCCAACACTTTACGTTTCAAAGACTGACCCTACAGTGAATAAAATGCAGAACTATAGGCTCTTTTCTCGTCATGTCAAAACATTCATCTGCTATTGATGAGTGTATTTGCTTTGTACTGTGGTCTTTTATCATTGATGTGGTCCTCGGTGAGAACTCGTTACAATTCATTTGGTTTGAATTTTCTGAGAATGATCAACGGGCAGTTAAATATTCATTCAGCAGTTACATCAAAGTGAAATACATATATTGTAGATTTAAGATGTCTTACTCAAAACTTGTATTTGTTTCATAAATTATACATATTGGTGTTTGTACACATATTCTGTCTGTATCTTATTAGAAAACATTTTACTGTGTTAACATACTTGTTAGAAAGAGCCCTGTGAGTCACTATTTGACTCTTTAGACTGAGAGCTGATTGGCTGAGTAAAAGTGGTGGTTTTGCGTCTGCTGAGCTAAAGATATGACAAAGGCAACAAAATACATGCATAGGAAAACTAGTGATAGAACCAAAATGTTTTGTGAGGAACTTGTTACGTGGTTAGATTGTTATTGGGGTTTGAAAGCTAGGTGCCCCAGCTTTAACCATTTACTGGTTTCCTTAATCATTTGGTAGATCACCTTTTGAGTCACGATATCTACTTTAAGCATGCTTGGCACTAAAATATATAATTTTGGGGCATTTTTGGCACTTCTATCACTGCATCTCAACCTAATAGTAAAGTCCTTTAATTAAAAAAAGAAAAATAGGGGTAACAAAAAAGCCGTAAAACACTAATTATTTGTGTTATTTTATGCTCCTAATCCAAAAAAGAAAAAGATTACATTGACTTCTTCAAGGAGTGAATGTTAAAGGCTTAATACTGCATCGCACTATAAACACAATTCATATTACAACCCTGTATGTAATACGAAAATTAAAAAAGAAAACACAAACAGCAGAACAACATGTTTTGGTCCATGCACTGCTGACTTTTCCACCCGTCTTCTACATTGTTTTCCTGACAAGAATATCTTTAATCTCAATCCTTGCTGAAGCCTCTTTCTCACACATGCCTCCTCAAGACTCTTCACCACTTCAATGATAAATTCCACATGTTACACACAGGCATGTACAGTCCTGTGATTTGTCCTGCAGCGATGAGTTGCACTTTCAGACTACTATCTACAATATAAGTGAGTGAAGTGCTCGTGGAATGGCACTGATTGAAACTCAAAATGATATACATCTGAGTGGTAAAGCTGTTTTAACCCGACATAATTGTTGGTGAATAAGAGAATCGGGTCTGGCAGCTGTTCACAACACCATAAACCTGAGTCTGAAATGAACGCTCATTAGTTTCCACCTCATCAGGATTTATTGCCCAATCCCATCTGACTGTGATGTAAGCAGAAGAAGAGGCTGTAACAGATAAACATATAAACTTTGTTCATAATGTGTATGAGTTCAAAATAATTAGAATTCAAAATTAGGTAAGTCGGATGTGAAGCAAGATCAAAACCAACATCGATAGGTTGCATTCATGTGACATTTCAAAATTCCAAAGAGTTTATAGTTTATAGAATTGTGGTGGAGGACTGGAAGATTTTGTTTAAAGCTAAATGTCTATGTAATTGCAGGGCCAATCCTGATGAAACACATTTCACATCTTCTTTGTCAGTACAACTGTGGTCTATTTCTATGAATACTCCCTAAAAGTGGTGACAATATTCAATGTTTTTAGTCAGTAGAAAGGACTTTTAACATAATGACATGTTTGTGAATCTAGTAACCATCAATTATTGAGCTAGGAAATTTCGACATTTTCTATTAGAAATAGAATTCTAGAAAAATTAAATACTCAATCTAAAATGTTCAGTGAAGCGTAGGTTTAAAATTTCTTTTTGTAACAATTATCAGCTTGTATACACAACAAAATCATTATTTATATAGCGCCTTTAACAGACAGTCACACAGCGATTTACAATTGTGGGTATTTTAACTCTCGCTTCACACAGTGATGGAAGAGTTTTTTTTTTTGCTTTTTATGAATATGCACCATTTAGCAGAGGTAATTTAGCGGAGCAAGACAATTTGTGTAATTATTTTGGGAAAATGTAACTGATTCAGGGAAGAAACTTTGTTTGATAATGTTACAATATTTACCCAGAAATGTCAAATTTCGTTTGATACTTCATTGAGTATTGCATTTCAATACTCATTTTGGTCGATTAATATCTGATTTTTGATGCCCTTTACATCCTGACACAGAGCATCAGGCAATAAGTGGCAGTGGTGCAAAGCGGTCTGTAAAGTACAGTATATTTCTGTCACACCAAAGGCATGCACTGGCTTTGTTAAAACAGGAAGCGTGAGTGGAGTCCAGCTGACATGTGGGTAATTATGAGAGCAGACGGGCGCTGACACGTGTTGAATGTGAAGTGCTGATTAGAGTCAGGTCTGGTTTCTTCAGGAGATGACCAGCGCTGTTGCCTGGATACTGCATGTGTTGCTGATGTGTGCGCGCCTGACACTCGCTTTATGCGGCCGCGTCAGAGACTTCACAAAAACAAGAGATGATTTACCAGCCAGCCAACTGGAATAAACATACAGGAAAGTCTTGGCCATCAGATTCAATAAAATAAAATAATGGCAGCTTGTCTAAAAAGTACAGTTATAAATAATTGCCATGGTATTGGGTATTTTTACTAGTGTTGAAAGAGATTTAGAAATGTAGTATCGTGACAGCAATAATTAGAACATAGGAACAGTAATACAAATAAACAGAAAGGAGCCATTTGTCCATAGTGTAGCCGCAGCAAGATGTCCACAATCTATGTTCATAAATGTTTACTGTTTATAAATGTTTGTGAAAGTCGTGTCAAAACGTTTTAGTAAGTTCATCAGACTTGTCCAGGGGCCAACAACATGGATTGTGAAGTGTTCGCAAAAATACAGCACTTAATTGGTTGCTCCAATAAAGTTACAGACATGCAACATTCTATAGACGTGGAAAACGTTCGGCGGGCCAACTGAAATGGTCTGGTGGGCCAACTTTGGCCCGCGGGCCCCACATTGGGCACCCCTGATTTAGTGGATCCATTCTCGTTGATAAAATGTTCAAAATCATAATGACCTCAAACTCATTAGAGAATTAGGAGAGAATTTCAGAATTATTTGTGTATGTCTGTAAAGGGGGCGGATCTCTAGAATGTGGATGCACAAATTAGCTTAAATCATTTGCTTCCACTTTAAACTGTCATTTTAGACGGCTTCATAAATTTAATGAGTTTCTTCTGTGAGTTGGCTTTAATGTCAATGAACACATTCACTTGTACGTATCACATTAGTTTAAACTTTAGGCAAAATAAGCATTCGCTTCAGCCAACACCTTTTCGAGTCCTTCTGTTGTAAAGTTGCTGTTCTAGAAATATGTACGTAATTGTGCATGTGTCCAAGATAAACTTCATTCAGATAAAATGTGGAAGTAAAAATGTATTTTAGTTTCATTTTGTACTATTTAAATATAATAAAAACACAAGAATAACTCAACCATAACAATTAATTAGTGCTATATTGCTTTTATCAGACAACCAAAGCGAGTCACAGCCGCTCAGATCAAATGTATGGTTGACGTGTCCTGCTCAAGGGCACAATGATAGTCTGCTCAGCTAACTGTAAGTAGTAAGTAAGCTTTATTTATATACCGCCTTTCACAGACCAGAGTCACAAAGCGGTTTACAATTGTTATTTTTTTTGGGCACTTGTCCTCTCACTCCACACAGAGATGGGAGCGGGGTCGCCGAACAGGAGGCGCATGCCAGACCTATTGTACATATTTTTAGTGGTAGGGGAAACCGGAGTACCCGGAGGAAACCTACGCAGACACGGGGAGAACATGCAAACTCCACTCAGAAAGGCCCTGGTCCGGCCGGGATTCGAACCCAGGACCTTCTTGTTGAGAGGCAAGAGTGCTATCCACTCAGCCACCGTGCCGCCCTGTTTGGATGCGTAATGGGGGAGCTGAAGGCAGTTGCTGAAATTAGGACCTGAACCACAGACAGGAATAGACTCAAAAACACTCTTATAGAAAATGCCAACATAGAGCTGAATCGTCTCTATACATCCTCTAATCACTGTGAAGTATACTTAGAAATATCCTGTATTTTTAATATCCAAGTTCAAAAAGAGCATTGAGGTCCAGAACTAAGTTAAAGGACAGTGTTTTGCTAGTGAAACAGTGCCACCATATGGTAAAAATGGAAAACAAACCAATAGAAGTGCTTCTTTCATCAGTTTGGTGCCAGAAACTCCTGATAGACATATCCCCATGCTCAATATTATTATTATGATTATGTATTGTTATACACTAGTATGTGAATGTGCTAATACGCTCTAAAGGTAAAAGCAGTTCATAGAAAACAGGGGCTACTGTTTTGCTATTTTATTTGTGCACTACAAATGCTTTATGTACTAATATATGTACCACATATATTGCTTTTTTATTTCTTCGACCACAGCCGGATTAATTTTTTGGATTATTTTTTTTCCGCAATGCTTTTACAAGTGTTAAAATGTTAAACCAACTGGGACTCTGAGGAACACAGGGACTGGCCTCCTACCGGGGCCCAGAGTCAAGACTAATCATGGGGTGTCAGCAATAATTATTCATTTCAGTATTCCTGATAATGTGAGAAAAGCTCTGTGAATATTAGATTGTATCATTCTTCTTACAGATACATTTATTTTTAATTAATGTTATGTGATAACTAATTTGTATAATTTGAATGATCCCTCTCTTGTTTTATAAAGCACTTTGAGTAACCTTGTGTTTGAAATAAAAAAATAAACATGCCTTGCCTAACATTGTGAAATTTAAATCAATATGTTTACTTTCATAAAGGTTGGATATGTTTATATCAAAATAATATTTGGTTAATTTAAATAATGTGCATAATTAAACATTTAATGAATGTAGTCCTTCATTATGACAATAATGAAGGTTGTCATGACAGTCCATCAGAAGGGTGTTCCTTCTCTTAATGCGAGTTAAAATATTGCATAAAAACTGATTATTGGGCTCTATGAAAAAACAAGACTTTTTGATTGGTAATGAGTGCTTCTGGTAGCCTTTTGCAAATCACTTTGTTATACAATGTTCTCCATATAGTGTTCAATTGAGACGTTATCATTATAGTTCTAAGCGTTCTCACTGTTGGAAGTGGTCTTTCGTGCTGTTACAAAGCTCCTGGACTCAGTGACAGTGAAAACAGGTGGTTTCCAGGTGGTGGCAGATGCTGGTCGCGTGCATTATGTATGATCTGATACAGGAGCACTGGGATAAATAAGTTATCCTACGTTTAGGCCAAGTTGATTATGCCATCATTTCATATTAGCTGGTTTCTCCAGGTAACTGGGGTAATGGAAGTGAGCGAGGGAGGCGCATCAGGACAAACAGTTAGATTTACAGCTTCAATAAACTGGAGCCTCAGACACAGAGTGGCCAGTGTAAATTTCCACAGCAGTGCTGTGTGATGGGGGGAGCTCTCCACAGCCCAGTCTTCTCATCTCAGAGTCACATTTGACACAACTGCACCAAAAACCCACTGTCCACAAACTCACATGCACCTTCTCTTTCACTAATGCACAAAAAGCAAGGCAGACAGAAAATTACATATTTTCAAATAATGGATTTTGATGGTACTCAGGTACAAACTTACCTTTTTCTCTCCGTCCTTGATGTTTCCTCTTTTCTTTTCTCGCTCCCCTCTCTCAGCCACAGGTCTGTCCCTGTCCCCAAACAACTTCTTTGCCCACTCATCTTTCTGCGCAGCCAGCCGGTGGCTGTGGGACTGTGGAGGTGGAGGCTGAGGTGACAGGTGGTCCCCAGAGGCTAGCGGGGCTCTGTAGCGGTCAGCTGGGATCTTACTCATGGGTGGGGGCAGTGTGCTGCAGTTTGCTGAAGACCACCCGTCCGTAGACTCGGCATAGGACTCCTGATCGCTGCTCAGGCCGAGGTGGGGCTGCTGCCGCCAGTCCCTCAACACATGGACTGGTAGCCATCGCTGAGGCTCCGCCCCTCCACCCACGGCACCTCCCACTGCTCCTCCCCGTATCCCTGCAGGGAAGTGGTGTGGGTGGACCCCTCTGCGGGACACTTCATGATGTGACAGGGGCAGCGGGTGAGGGAGATCGGCCAGGTGTGACTCATGACGATAGTGACCGTTCCTTAGCGCCACAGGAGGAGGTGGGTGCGCCGCTGCTCCGAGAGTGGGGCTCCATGCCTGCTGTGAGGATGGAGGACTGTCCCAGTGACGCGGCCCAGGCACATAGTTGTTAGCAGGAGGTCCTCCGAGGTCAACTAAGAGAACCCTATTGCTCTTCTCCTCAGGTAGGAAGTTTCCGATGCCACTGTCGCTGTTGCTGCTTGTGCTGTGGTTTTGTTGGGCGTCGTTGTCTGGATCATGAAAGGCTCGAGCTCTAACACCTTCAATATTGTCTCCCATGTCTCGATACAGGACAGAAACAAACTGTAAAAGAGGCTGGGAGCTTGGAGGAAACTCAAGGCAGCCTCCTGTGTCAGGGTCTGGGGTGCACTCAAAGCCAAACCTGCAGGCAACACCCAAGTGCACCTACAGGGAAAAAGTCAGAAAGTTAGAAAAGTGACTGTAGATGAAAAAGTAAAATTATATCGAAGACCTCATACCTGGTGCTGACAGAGTTCTGGATCCACAATAAAAACATGACAGGAGGTCCGCAAACCACTCTCGTCTTCTCTGTTTGTGTTAAAGTACCGGTCATCCAGGTCATCTGAGGCCTGCATCGTGACCAGCCCAAAGAATCTCCGATCATCCGGACAACATGCACTAAAGGCGAGTTTTTCTGCGGGATATGTAGCCAAGACTTGCCCTCGGTCATTGCACAGACGGACACTGTCATGCATGACCTGGAAAAGAAGAGGACAAAATGCCTATCTGTACAAATATTTTTACTTCTTGTTATGCCAAAGGTAGAGATTTTACACTTCTTTATTATGCTAAGGTCAGAGTTTTTGTACTCATTATGCTACAGATAGAACTTTTATACTTAGATTTTGCATTATTTAATTTAGTATAGAGTAATTGTTCTTTTACAATTGTGTGCTACTCATTTCTACTTTTAATCTTACTTCAAAATTAGTCTAACTCATACATAAAAAAGAACACTGAAACTGTTACACATATTCGTGAATTAGATCTGTATAGACTGTTATGTATCAATATGCATATATACCTATAAATAATTTGGTCATTGAAGTTTGTGGAGACAATAGGGTATAAGCATGTGAATTGTGAATAGTGAATTACACTTACCTTCATCATTACCAAAGAGTGAATCTTCTGCTCAGCTCGCAGTCTCCTCATGCTACCTCTGATGGCCTGTAAACTGTCATTCTCTAGACTAGCACCTGTGGACGCAAGTTCAATTGATCCAAGATACCCAACAATCATCCCTACATTCAGAATACCCTCGTTGGACTCTAGGCCAAGGTCAACTCGGTCCCCGTCTTGCTGAAGTAGGTGAAGATCTCTCAAGTCTGTATCCAGAAAAAAGGCATCGTCATTGATAACCTGGGCCATCTCCTCTTCAGACAGTAAGTTCGGGTTGCTTTGGGAACGTGCATGATAAGGAGGGTACTCGGTATCAGAAAGTGGACGTGGTTTGGATTTGGTTGCAACCCTCTCTTTGTCTGAGCTGCTTGATGAGTGGCTGGAATTTTCAAAGATCATGTTAAAAATTCCCCCAGATTGCAGTTCAGCCACTACCCTCTCAGCTCGGTTTATGCCCTTAGATGCTGCTTCCGTTTTGGGCTTGTACCATCCAGCTCTGGCCCCAGACCTGCTGCTATTGTTGTTGTTGTTCATGCTGTTATCGTAAAAATAGTCCAACTCGTCATCACTGGAACAGGAGTCCACGAAAGCTGCAGCCATATTATTGCTGCTATGGTGCCGGCTGCCTACATTGCGTCTGTGATGTTGACTTTTTGGTCTTTCCCCTTCAGCAATGACCAACTTCAGGACCCCAGAACAACGGCCAATGAGCTTCACAACATCTTCATGCGAAGCTTTTGATACATTGATATCATTGACAGAGAGGATGTAGTCTCCAGATCGCAGCCCCACATAATCTGCAGGGCTGCCCTTTAGGATGCAGCTCAAAACACAAGGACTTTGACCCGACAGAGTAAATCCATACCCAGTTCTTCCTCTGGCCACCTCTACTGCCCGGATACGCCCCTGCTGACACTCAGGAGGAAGGTTGAACCCACGTCGCTTTGAAGATGTGTCCATTTGCCTATACATTGTGCCAAATGATGTAATGTGCTGTCCTTACATCATATCCACATCTTTGACAGCTATGAGCTGGAGGAAATACTAATATTGCGTTGATAGGATATCAGCAACAACATGGTGTTATCTTTACGAGCCAGTAGCGAGCCTGTCAACAAAAAATGAAATGTGATTAGAGCACAAGTTTGACAAGATTCTTCATAAATATTTTCTTAAACAGATATTAAAGAAGAGGCTGTTAGTTAACACAATTATAAGTAATGTTAGTTGGTCTCTCAAGACTGGCTTGAGTGCTTGATCATCATTGTAATTATAAAGGGTTCCCCAAAGACTATTTTTGAAATGTAGTCTAAAAACAGGCTAAACAGATACAGCACCAAACTCATTTTAACGTTTTAAACCTTTAGATGTTTAAATTAATCATATCCTGATCAGTAAAAAGAAATAAGTAGGCAATATTCATACTGGTAAAATAGTAATACGAAAACTGATTGAAAATATGGCCTGAGAACAAGCAATCAATGAACAAGTGTTTATTAGAGATGCGAAGCGCAACAGGTTAATGGGAGGAGCCTAAAGGTGCGTAAAACACCTGGGCTGTGTCACTATGGTAACGTGAGCGTTCCAAATCTGGCAGCTGCTTGTCAGGAGAATAGCCTTTTGTCTGCAGACAACGTTGTAGTTTTTCATGTGATTGCTTTGTTTAAGTTACATGCGGTGCGTAAAATACAACAGGAAATAGGTTAGCAAGGATAATCGGTTAGCAAATTAGAGCAAAGAAGCCACATAATAGCTCATGCTGAGTGTTAAAGATCAATGTCAAGATGCCTCTAAACGTGCCTTTGCATCAAACGAATACATGCGGGAACTTTTCGCACACTTTTTTAGTATAACTTACTCGTTTACGCTCAACCAACAATGCTAACGCTTTAGTCCCGCCCCTAGCATCCCGAAATCTGGAATGTCGGTCCGTTGCCGCGGTAACAGAACTGTACACATACTTTTCGACGCTGCAATTGGTTAACAAAGCTGTCAATCAAAGCGTGAACAGTTATGCGGATGAATTGTCAAAAGTTAGCTTGAGGTACCACGAATAAAAAAAAGTATCGCCTGTCACACGTTCAACAGGTGGAAAACTTAAATCTTAAACAATTTTAACATAAAAATTACTTTAAATCAATTGTGCAAACATTGGGTAGAAATATGAAACGTGACAAGGCAGGGGAAAGAAACCACAACGGGAGGCAGGAATAAGAGTTGTAAAAAGCAGACTTGGGAGAAGGATAGGATCTTTTCCATGTTTTGTCAAAGATGTTTGGTGAAGCAAGAGTTAGCAAGCAGGGGATTGAAACTTACTTTTCCGTATCCGGTCTGTGATGATGGTCATGCCGTGTCCATAGTTCTGTAGCCATGGGTTTGTAAGGTAAACTCAGATGGGTAAACAAAAGAATAGGCTGCTGGACCATCTGGCGAAGTAGCTTTAAGAGCACGACTGGAGGAGAGGGAGGGAGTTCTCTGCTCAGGGGGAAATCAATTAGGTGGGCTATTAGCTACACCGCTTACTACAGCCAATAGTTTTGTTAAGATATACAGTTTTGACCAAATGAAGAACAATAAAATACAAAACATTCAGATTTGCTTTTCTGAAATTGTAAAACCCTAATGTAAACTCACGTCCTGATTTGCAAAACTAATTATAAAAAATAAAAGGAGTGAAAAAACGAAAAAGAAAAAACAAGCAACTGATTTACTTTTGGTTTCTGAATTCTGATTGGGATATATAGCAGTCATTGTTAGTGCATGGCCATATGGTATGTAGTGTTGTAATCCTATTAATAGATGTAATCACTTTACAGGGTGGTCCCATAAAAAAACCAAACAACTTGTAAATCAAGAAACAAACAAGAGAACATCTTTAAATAATTTATTAATTTCTACAAGACCATAAGCAGTGTTTACTCTTTGCAAAATTGTACATTAAAATTAAATACACAATCTCTTCTTCCATTTTTACAGGCAACTGTAACAAAAAACATGACTATTCACAGTCTGTGCTGCCTTTTAAGCAGAGAGAGAGAGATGACTGAACTTCCACATGTCTAGTGCAAACCAAGTCTAACTTAAAACGATACACTCCGATTATATTCACAAGTGTTGTATGAAGGATCAAGTGAACAGATGTATTTTCAACAAGTAGACCAGCAATTGTTGTGAGGGAGTGAGAGGGGCAAAGCCTTTTGAGACATGATTTTAATTTGAGGAAAATGTTCACTAACACTTCCAACACCACACTCTGATTTATCGTAATCGCATTATGCTCCACAGGGGTCTCCAGTCTGCCTTTGTCTAAAACAGCAACTTGCACATTAGGCCGTTTGAATCTGCTCAATTCCCTGCAGTAGATAGATTATACAATAAACAATAAACTGAGATGTTAAGTCAAACATTGCATAAAGCCTGAAACACCAACATGGAAACACATTAGGTTTAAGTGCTATATATGTAATACTCTGAGCACAGACATTAATTGATGGAATATTTACCAATATTTAATTCAGACAAAATATTTAAAGCTGAACAAAAGACTCACCACAGGGCATCCCTACGCTAAACATAACTCGCTCTGATTTGTCAAAACTGGTTGGTTGTGAAGGCTCTTTTTGGATTGAGTTGCATCACTCATAGCAACCGCCCATACCCATACAAATCTAGTTATAAGAATAACGTGTGAGAATAGCAGTAATGCTAAACATGCGTCAAGCTTTCACTGTACAAACATACATTTTCTAAGGCAAGTGTATGTACAGTGACAACACAGATCTTGTATGGGCTACAAAGTTAAGTCATTGTTAAAACGCATTTCTTTTGTAATCTTCTGGTGTTTTGTACAACATAAATATGGCATTGCATTGTCATAAAGATTTTTCTTCACACATCATGCACCATGGCTTTCATGTACTTTACAATTTTTTGCACAACACTCCACAGATTACTGTAAATAATCACATACATCCTGAGAAGTACAGAAACAACCATTTATAGTGCAGGTAATCCAGTTTATTTTGAGATGTGTAAATCCACTTTGCAAGGGTTGAACTGCTAAAATGTATACATATAGAGAATAGATACTTTAAAACTCTCTGTACATACAACTAATTGAGGTGTGGCGCCTCCCACTTCATTAAATATATATATTTGTACATAAATTATCTGATAACAAAATATAAAAATGGTTTGAAATACAACTGAGAGCAGGCAGTTCAGTCGTATACTTGATTATTTTGTGGATTTCCATGAAGTTTAGTGTAAGTGCTGCGTTAAAACACTCCTAGTGGAATGGTCTGGATTCATTATTGTCAGAGGAGGGACAAAAACATTATCGCTAATTTGAGGCCATTTTTTATTTTATTTTTTGACGTCTTTGCTTCAATTGACTAGATTGGCGAAGTGGTGAAATAAACACGGCTACAGTAGTTACGTACACATTATGATCCTACCATCTTTTCAAGCACAAGTCAGAGGTGCAAATAAGATGCAATTTTTCGGCTTCACACTCCAGTGCTCAGAGGGATGTGTCCTGATGAATGGATTGTAGACAGCCCAACAGCTGGTGGTAAGGGCTGCCTGGGGAGGCCACCGTTTCGAACACAGACTGGAAAGCTCTGCGGTCCAGTTCTTCATCGATTTGGTGCCGGTAGAAATCCATGGCTACGAGGCAGAACAAGTTAACATCCACCACCTCACAGGAGCCCATTCTGCTGATCACATGGGGCAGACTGGTGAAGAAAAGGAGTCAAGGAAAGTTCAGCAAAACTAGTTTGTAAACATGTATGCTGTGTGTTTCTTTGGTGTTCAAGGATACAGAGCGGAGATCCACTGTGAGGTGGAAGCAGAGACAAAGAAACAGGAGAGGCTCCACATGGCCATTGCCACCGGTGTCCTCTGAGTGAAGTTGGACAAAGAGAGAAGCACCCAGTCCCGCACCATGGAGGACTGCCCTGTGGAATGTAGTGTCTGGAAAACCTGTAGGGACATCAGGCAAAGTTTATCAGAAATTGGATGTGAAACAAAAATTATGTGGAGCCCTGAAACTTTATAAAAAGATGGACAATTACAAAAAATATCTAAGATAAATGTAAGAGAACATTTGTGGGAAGCCAGGTCATTAGAAAATGTGTAGAAAAGTGTATGCTTAAAAAATATGTATTTATAAACACATCAATTTAAAAAGTGTTTTTATCATAATCTGCATGTTCATCTTGGCATGTGTCTGCTATATATGACTTGTATAGATGACAGAAATGTGTCTGTCTTGCTTTTCTTAAAAGGGTCCTTGTGTTCAGGAGCTCATGTAACTATTCTGCTAATTCGGTGACAAAAGGGTTAGGAGTATTATTTTCATTTGCACAAACAAATAAATAAATAAATCTGCTGAAAATTTAATGGCGATCAGGAACATTTCTTTAGCATACAATCCATGAAGTCATCTTACCCTATTTAAACTATTTTCAACTCTACTAATCTGGCAGAAAGCACACAGATCGGTGGAGAAAGCCAAAATAAACCTGCACTGACCTTGTAGACTACAGTAGCCATAAATTGTGGGTACGGCTGCTGGTTGGACAGGAACTCGCCGATGACCTTGTTCATGACATCCTGTGGTGGAAAGAAGTCATCCAGAAACTGGGGCAAAATCCTAGACACAACGCGTGCTTCGCTGGGTAAACCCTTGCGGATTCTGCAAACAGAAAACACAGCTTGTGAGCGTTTTGATGGGTGAAAAGCTGTCGTGCTGAAATTTATTTATGTTAATTATGTTGTAGGATTGCTATGCGAGTGTACCTGTCAAAGAGGACCGAGACCCTCTCCATAGCCACGATGATGGACTCGCTGTCTGGGGCCTGGGGGTCAGTGTGAGCGGGGCGGGCGGCCGGACTCGTTTTCTCCTTCCCTGAGGAGAAACCAACATGACCCGCCGTGACGCCCACCGGCTTCACTACGGCAGAGCTAGAGTCAACCTGACCTCTATCCCCTGCCACCTCTGAACCCGACGCAAGCACCGCTGAGAGGACGACGAGTGGGACACACGTTAGAGTTTGAAAAGGACGAGGTTCAAATTAAAAGGAACTTAAAGCTGGAGTATCTAACTTTTTCCATAAATAATACATCCCAATGGAAAGAGTTTTGTAAAAATATTTTATGAAGATATCAGACAACATGTTGTTCATAATATTAGAAAATATCTTATCTTTAGCATACTTTTATAAAGAGCCCTGGGAGTGACTATTTGATGCTTTGGACTGAGAGTTGATTGGCTGAGTGAGGGTGGTCATCTCTTTTTCATTTATCTGGGAAAAAGGTGATCTAAACATGTGACAGAAGCTTAAAATACATGCATGCGATAACTGGTGATTATAATCAAACAGTTTTAGAGCCAGTATGTAGTTAGAAGGATTTTAAAAGTAATTAAAAAGTTAGGTAATCCAGCTTTCAGTCAATAAACGTCGCTACTGTATTTTTCTGCAAAATTACTAATTTAGTGAGAGCACATTGGCAGTAATTCCAATTAGTAAGGACTGGGGCAATAAACTTCAGTAAGCGGGCCTTTGCCTCAAAACAGAGGGGCAACATGCTTTAGACACTACCGTTAGTAAGGGTTAATGCAGGGGCTAGAGGTTAGGTCAGATACTAATAAATAATAACTAGATGATAAAGGAAACATGCAGAACACAAACAAAATGCTTAGCAAAAAAAAAATCCAAGGTGGAGTTCTGAAAATTATATAACTGTCTGAAAGAAATATAAAACAACTAAAATTAAGCCAGGTTGCTGTATAGAAAGTGTCCTGTAGCATACATAGGTTTTAACAATGGCTTCAATGATTGGACCAATTTTTGCTTCCAAGGTTACTTGGAAAAGCAACTATCGGTATGTTACCATTTGCGGTGGGTATTCTTTCTAGATAGTAATGCAAAAGTTAAGCTTGCAAGTATGAATGAATGAATGTTGTAATATATGCAATTATGGTGATTATTCAATTGGTTAAATATGGTGACCATTTGAAAGCAGTATGAGGCTGTGACTGTTGATGAAGTGGCCGCTCTCCTTACCCGTGTACATGCAGGTGAGCATCAGGCCGAGTGCAGCCATGGCTCTGTGCGGTGACGGCATGTTCACTCTGTCCACACTGAGTTTAACCAGTGACTCTGCGTCCACGCGAGACAGCTGCTCCGACAGCAGGAGGCGCTCCAGACCCCGAAGCACACAGTGGTAAATTACAGAAGGAGTACAGTCTTCACTGGCCGAAACCATAACACTGCACAGCTGAAAGGTCCGAAACAGACCAAATGAGATTAATATTTTTACAACGGTGTACAATGAGTTTCCAAGTAACCCCGATGGCGCCATCTTGTGTGTCAGCATGTTAGGTGTTAATAATGTAATGGGGTTACACCTGTGCCATTTGAGTCAGTACAAACCGTGCTGTTTACATCACGACAAATAAGACGCAATATTTCAATAACGTTGCAAAACTGATTTATAATAAATCAGGTTCAAGGCAATTCGGTGAAATCATTTACCGGTAAATTTTGTTGTTTTACATATTTTGGGTCAAAAACAAATCTTATACCTTTTCTACTATCCATTGCATTATATGAGTGTAGGGAAGGTTTGGGTGTTCATTCAGTCACTGTGTGCGTCCAATTCACTTACGGTCAATACGGTACATATATCATTACTCTAACATTTTCTCAATTACAAAAAATTTGACAGTTTCCCCCCAATCATATTCCAAACTTACTTGAAACTAGGATAATTATTCCCCAAGTCAAGAGAGACATGCTGTACAGACAAAACATGATTTACCTGTATAATTCCTGCCATGAACTCTGATCCTACATCCAGAGGGTAGTTTTCCATCATATAGAAGGCTACTGCACACATGACCAGCACGTGTTGCTGGTTATGTAAATGCACACAGCTGTAGAAGCGATAGAAAATAATTAATGAAACTATAAAAACTGAACCGTTAATCCACTGTAGATGCAGCAGAAATAACAGAATAACAGATAATAAGTCAATAACAGAAAAAGATAACTGTACTCGTTACCCAGAGGCAGAAATAAACCATTACTCAAAGTCTTCATGAATATTCACAGTATAGACCTACTTCGCAATAGCCCTGAGATTGGACAGCAGGTACTCGGAGACAGCTGGGATGAGTTGTTTTGCCGTATCATCGAGTAGGTCACATTCCAGCACATACAAAACCCCATGAAGAGCCCCCATTCGACTGGGCAGGTGAGTGCTCCGAAGTGTGGCCTCCAGCAAACGGCACACTGGCTCTGCGATGACCTTATCCTGGAAATGTACCACATAACGCAAAATGTACAACCCTGTATTACTTCAAGTTGAAGTTGGCATATGCACTTACCATGCCCAACACAGCAGCAGCCTTGCAGATGGCAGGAACCAAGTACTGGTTGAGGATTTCGTCTTCTGGTGGGTGGAGCTTCTGTAGTTCCATTAGTGTTGAGAACATCATGTCGAATTGATTTCTCTCTGTGAAGAGGTCGGACACCGCCAGCAGCTGCAAGGAAAACAATGCAAATGTAAAATGATGTAAGCGCTTAAATCCCAATTCCTTAGAAACGTTTGATAAACTGTTCATGTAAAGACAAAAACAAATGCTGTGTTAATAAAACTTACTGATCGGACAACTTCACTGATGAGTATAGTGGGGATCCTCCTGTTGTTGGGTGAGCCTGGGATGAGCCACTGACTATAAAGCTCAAGGAGGAACTGGGAACATGAATGGATGTCCACCCCAGCTCTGTGCTTCCTAACATTGAAACACAAATTCAATATTGTGCCTGCTGTGTGACCCTTTCCACTTAAAATGTATCGACTGTTACCTTGAATTAATGGGTGACAGGGGTGGGGACATGGGAGCTGGAGTGTCAGGCTCATCTTCTTCATCTTCCCCCCACTCCTCCTCTCTTAGCGGAGTAATGTTGTTGCCAAGCCAAACTGAATGGATCGATACCTAAAAAAAGAACAAGGTTTTACAAAAAGATAATAAAATGGCTTTAAAAAAACAAAACAACGTACTTGTCCCAACTTGTAGTCCATGTTGCCCATTTCCCTCTCCGTGTTGATCTGAAGCAATAGTTTTTCATGACTGATTAAGGTCCCTGCTACAACAGAGGGATACAAATTTTACACTTGCTCAAATGGAGCAACACGTGTGTCAAATGTATGGTTGGTTACCGGCTGAGGCGGCAGAGAGTGCAGGGACAGGGTCCCATGCGTGATAAGGATGGTGTGTGTGAACATTGTCCCTCTTTGAGACAAGAGCCTGAATTTCCCGCTCTACTTCACCTCTGATCACTGCAAGTTTTCTCCCAAATCTTCAAAAGAGACAGTTATTAGAACTTAACATTAGTTGTTGAACTGTAGTAGTGATTTCATAATCCAATATTTACCGCGTCTCTAAGGCCTTGAGGCTCTTGTTACGCGGCTGCTGTTCCAGACAGCTGACCGCAGGGTTTCCAGCTGCAGGCAGAGTCATAGCGCTCAGCACCAGGCTGGTGATTGCCTGAACAGCCAACACATTCAACTGGGTACGCTCCAGGTCCTCCTGAACAGGAAATGCAACACAAAGCAAACACATTTAGCCTACAGTTTATTGCCATGGGATTATAGAACCATTTATTATTACTGTTGCCATGGTCAAGCATTTCAATTTAGAACACACCATTACCTCTTGATGAGTTTCCTCCTCCTGGTCCATTGTGATGGGTTGTGTGACCAGCACGCCCAACAAAGTGGCCCATGTCTCCTCAAACTGCGTCCTACTGCTCCAACCTGAACAGAATATAGATAGGATTTTGTGTTTTTATAACTATCCATTAGCAGTAAAGATAGACTTGTTTATACCTAGTGTGTTGATGCGGTACAGAAATTCTCTGAAGACATCCTTCTCCTGCAAAAAGTCCACAGGAATCTCTGGTAAACTTGTGCCAAACTCTCCTCCTGGCTGAGGGGACCAGCCAAGTTTCCAAACCTGAAAAACAAAGGGTGCCATGATGCAGACAAGGATATATATTATCAACACATTTTCTTATACTAACCAGAGGAGGCACTCTGGTGTAGCTATTCACCAGAGGCAATCGAGACAGACTGATAACAATGTTCCGCAGAGTTGGAGTGAGAAAGTTCGGAATTGCCCGGTTCCTATGGTGACCCAAAGTAAGGACGCTTCTGAGACCTTCGACCAGCTCTCCCATTATCTCACATGATTTCCATTCTGAAAGGTCTGCAAAGACAACCGGTGAATATCTGATAAATCAAGCTAAATGCAAACACCCCAATTTCTGAATTGCTACTTACGTTTTGCATGAGCAGAGTCTACTTCATCTCCATCATTCTCGGCCTTGGGTCTTTTCTCAGAATATAGAAGCTGGTCACCAGGTTTCACAGACACTTGACACAAAAGGAAATCTTACAACTTCTGTAATGAAAATAACATCCCACATATTCTAAAGATGTCGAGCACCCTTTACCTGCAACAATGATAAGGCGCAGGCAGTGAATGAGAGAGCAGGTATGAGTGGTGTACTCTGAAGTAGAGAGCTTGTTCCAAACACAGGAATGTTGTAATGCGAGACACAGACAGGCCAGAGCGGACTGGAGGTCCACACTGAGAGGCAGCTGGTCCTGCAGCAGACGCCAAACAATCACCTGGAGGAGATACTTTGATGTTAATGCCTGAACCAATTTCCACAAATGGAAACATGTTAATCATTACCTCTGTAGCAGTACAGGTGAAAGCAGTGATGAGATGCTCCTTTTCAGGAGAAATGTGAAGTGCGGAAGGAAGCTGACTGACATTCAACAAGTACTGCGAGAGAGCTCTGCATAGCGCCAAAACTTTAGGGAAGAAGCCAGGCTCATCTGGGGAGGAAAAAGTATACATACTATATACAGAGGCTTGCATAAGTACTAGTGCAACTTGAACTTTTTGGTCATAGCATGACAAAAATTCCTAAGATTATATTTATTTTTATATTAATTTTTAACATACCACGACAAAGTAACACAACAACTGAAGTGAACGAAAAATTATACAAAACTGTCATGTGAAAACGATAGAAGAAAAATTGAGGTTGTCACCAGTATTCTAAGTGCATTAAATAGCCATTGAAAATGTCCTAATGACTGCAGAATGCTCATATCTCACCCCAACCATTAAATAGAGCTCACCTGTGTGTAATCTACGCTCAGTAATAATGACAGCTGTTCATTGACCAATACACTAAACATAGTACAGAGGCCTGTACTATGTTGGTGTGACCAGCCAAAGGTCTAGTGTGGCTGGGCGTAAGAGAAGGAGAGGATGGGATGTAGAGCAGAAGGCAGAGTGTTCTCTAAAGGGATCCCGTGTCCCAGGTACGGAGTTCTCCTCTGTTGACCCCTGACCCTCCATTGACCTCCTCTTTCACTCAGTCACATATGAAGGTCAATTACAACACATTTAAATCACCAAATGAATATGATTCTTACCAAAGATGGTGGCAAGAGATTCCCAGTAGGGTTGTGGATGAGTGGCAGGCAGGAATGACTGGTGTGGGCAGGGAAGTGACTGTGTGACCTCAGCAAGCTGGTTGATGGTGACCTGCAAAGCTGTCTCTAACAGAAGGGACCCTTGACCTCGCGTACAGCGGTGAATTCCCAAACTTAGAGATGGACACAACAAACTCAGGTTGAACTCCTGCACACAAACAAAGCAAATGTTACATTAGTATAAATAAACCATTTGCAAAACAATCTAGTGATTCACCTTGCAGCTCATTACGTCATGGAGATCAGGTGGCGGCAGTTTGGCGAGAAGTTCTGTCGTCTCCAATAAAGACACATCTCCACAGAGACAGCACTGCGACTTCACTAAGGCTACATACCATTCCTAAGAACAATTTTTTTTTTTATTAAGGTGCAATACTTACAAGTCAATATTATGATGGCTTTTGACCTTATAACCTACCTTATCTGCTATAACCAATTCTGGTGAAGGCGGAGGATCCCCATCTAAAGGATGTGATGTGATGGGTGGGACTGGGCTGTTGCCCTCGGTAACGGTGGCTCGAAACCTATCTAGCAGAGAGTAGAACCTCTGATGCCTAGAATGGAAAGGAGAGAAAAGATTAGAACTGCTACATACTCGGACCAGAACACACAAACTACACACTACTGTGATAATAGTGATGGGAAATGTTGTGCTTACCTCTGAGCAAGTCCACTGCTTTGAAGATAAACTTGAATCCTATTGAGCTCTTCCACAGGAAGCTGTGCAACACTGTTCTGCAGAGTCACAAGGATAAAGATTAGATTAAACATTAAACCCTGAATATTTCAATACAGCGTCTGCTGCGTACTTGTAGTGTTTCTGCAAGTAGCATCTCGACCCTGCGACAGGCCAGAGTGTCCACCATGCGGGCGAGCACTCGAAAAGGAGTACTGAGCAGCTTGTCCACATACAGCATCAGCAGCGAGCCCGACTGACTTAAGTGGATCCCCTCCAAACATTGCAGAGTTTTCTTCAACATGGTGGGCTAAAAATAAATTATACATTAAAATTATAGCCAAATGAGAGGAAAAGAAACGCAGACTAGCCTATTATAAAAAGTAAACCATATGCGTATTGTACCGTTTTGATTGTTTTGGCACCAATATTTCTATGCCGTGATCACATAGTGATATACATTGTATACATTTTGATATACATATTCAGGCCTAAGTGAGGCTATTTAAAACACAGGAAGCAAAGGCATTAATCCAATCCTTCAAGCATTTACCAAGTACAGTATGTCTATAAGGCTTGTTTACTGAGAAAAATTGTAAGAAAAATAAGAGTATGGCAAAGGGCTAATTTTGAAAATTTCTTGGAAATCTTACAGTTGAGAGATTGTTGCAGCGTGACTGGATTGCCTGAATGAAAAGGCCACTAGCAGCAGAGTTCCGGTGAACAGCACTGATAAAATCCTGGACTGGAGGCTCATGGGAAAGGCTGATCAGATCTCGCACATGATTAACAATAAGCCAGGTCAGATGCTCTGAATCATGGAGGTTTTGACACTGAAAGAGTAAAAAGGAACATAAACGTAAACTTTTACATTTATAGAACAAAAACAAACAAAAGTCAATTACTAAATGTTTCCTACCACATAGTCACAAAACAAGATGAGTGCTCCTCTTCGTACAAGCTCTCTGTTGATCATAGCTAAACGGGATTCAAGCTGGTCCTCTTCACCTTCCCCTGAGCTGCGAGGACTCCGCAACTTTGAGGACGACAAACTGTGCCGCCTGCAAGATGAAAATGTTTAGAGTTTAATGTAAAGTGTGAATTATGGTAATGTGAGTAACAACAACATTATACATTATTTCTATTTATTTGGATACTAAAAAAATAAAGACAAAAACTGTTGTGCCTTTATAACATGAAAAATACAAGATTCGTCAAAAGAACAAGCAAGAGATAGGGACCATTAGTCTTTTGTTGTCACAAAGAACTTAAGAAATAATTTCAGTCTTAGTCTTCATGGTCTGAATTAATTAATCACAACTTCTATTCGATTGCGTTCAATCATGCAGCCCTGGGAGGGGATGGACCAAAACGTTCCATGGATAAACTGTATGTTAAAAAGAAGGACCATCGTTGTCAGCTCCTCACCTGGGGGTGTGGTGCACCTCTGACCACCACGTGTAGTTTGTGTAATCAATGATGAGCAAAACCTGGCACCACAGAAGCACGAGGGAGGGGTGCGTTGTGATAAGGCTTTGGACCATGTTATTTAGTCCCTCCAGCTGGTAAAACTGACAGCTTTCAGACAGACTACCACCTCCCTCACTCTTCAAGAGGCGGCTGGCTGCGGCTGTGATCCTCCGAAACATTCCTTATAATGGAACATGAAAATCGATCATCGCAATTGGAAAAGACTACAATGTGTCCATATCAATTCCACTCACCACTTTTAAATATGTGTATAAGACACATTAGAAGCGTTCCCAGCTGCTGACAACAAAAAGTGTGCTGCTGCTCAGTAATGTTCACTTTGATCTGGCGGGTTGAAATGTCATCCAGTAACACTCCAACCAACTGCAACAGGAACCTGTACAAACAAGAGAATCATTAGGTCAACATTTTCAAATTCTATTACAATTGTCAGAAAAGCTATAGTAACCTCGCAAATGTTTCTTCTGGGAGGGTTTTTGGAGCATCATCACTGGGTTCTTGTCCGGCAGGGCTCTCAGATGGGTCATTTGGAGAGGAGCTTTGCTGATGTAGACGGGTGATAGTTTGGCAGGAGAGGAGATGAGGGGAGAGTGAAAGCTCATGGACTCTGGACAGAACAATGTCTTCTGTGGACTGTGACACCAGCACCCTCAAGACAGCCAGGATACCGGACACCCACAACTGCACTGTGGCTACTGACGTCTACAGAAGTACAAGTGAGACAAAAAATTAGCATACCATAACAAAGTTCACTTGATTTCTATAAAAAAGCTACAGATCTGAAATTTGTAACGGGTATAGCTTTAGGCCTTTTTGCATGAAGGGCATGAACCAAGCCTTAAAGTAATTATGAATAAAGGGTTTCCAGGTACCAAAAACACATTAGAAGAATCAGAAAAAAATATGTATGGAACCATCGCACAGGGAAGCCAATGACTTTCCAGCTCCTGTCGGCAGGAACCAGCCTCTCTCTGTGTGGAACCAGGACAGCTGCAGCACACTGCTCAGTGCTGGAACCATGAACCCTTGTGCCACACGGGACTATCATTTTTAGAGTATCATTTTGGATTTATGCAGACTTCATCATCCTGCAGGGTTGAACTCTGGGATTGTTTAAATGGCTGTTTAAACTGTGGGTAGAGTGATGAAGCAGGGCTGTGTGATTAAGACACACAAAAATAAATGGCCTAGTTTTGAACCGACATGCAGACGTCACTGATTCAAGACAAAGCAGAAACAATCAAAAGCCTTTGATATCTAGATCAGTTTTAGATAGTTTGTTTTCAGTTCTATTCATCAGATTTGCCAAAAATCACACATAGTGTGTTAGTCTATTTTTGTAATAAAAATACAATGTCAACCGATGGGAACAAAAGAAAGGTAAAATTGCTTTTTTTGGAGTCAACAAGCTAATATTCTTTCATAATAAAACTCTTACCATAGTTACTGGAATAGTAAACATACTCTTCAGAAGCATGTCCACAGGTCTGAGAGAAGAAGGAGCAACAGACTCAAAAAGAGTATTCAGAACACCCAATGCCTCCGGAGAATCCAAATGCATCTGTGCATATAAAACGATAGTCTTGGTACATGTAATAATGTAATATGTTTATTGTGACAATTTCTAAATAGTTATAACAGCACCTGCTGCTTCGCTATCATCGGAAGAATCACATCTGCAATCTGTCGTGACAATCTTTTCCACTTGTCCTCATTTTCTTTGTGACATTGTTGCAGCACAAGAATAAACATCTCCAACACCTACATGGAAGAGAAGAACCCATATAGAAACCCATAAGAAAAGACTTTAATGTACCGACAAAAACACTAAAAGCAATACTGAACCTGGTGGTATTGAATGAGCCTCAGCAACATGGACACAACTACTTCTTTCTGGATATCAAGCTCTTTGCCAGCATCAGCTTTGTTGGAACCCCTCAACACAAAGAGGTCGTGGACAATAGGTTGCAATGCTGGGATAGCTGTAGAGAGAAAGTCAAGTTAAACCACTCTGTAATCCGGTTTTGTGAGATCTGACCATGACGCTCACCGTGAGTCACCGCTTTTCTGCCACTCGCCATAATCCCGTCGCACAATTGGATGATTTTAGGGATGCTGATGATCTGCTTGGAGTGGTAGCGCTCATACGACAGCAGTACCAGAAAGAAGAAAATATTTGGAATGATAGCCTCCGAATCCCTACAAGAAAAAAGTAAATGCTAAATACAATACTTGATGGAGTAAAAGACTGTGCTAGTGCTGTTAATCAAAGAGTAAACTACCTAAATTGTCCATCTTCAATGTACTCAAACTGCTTGAGGACAAACCCAATAAAGACCTGAAACAAAGATACCTATTAGATAAATCTGCATTCATAATAATGATAATATAATGGTGAATGACGATAAACATACTTGGTCTGAATCCAGGAGGCAGTAGTTGACCCGGAGTTGTACCAGTTGAGCAAGCAGGTCCAGCACCTGTCTCTGTAGAGAGACCGAGGTACTTGTGGTGTACTGCTTCAAAGCTTTAATCACCAGCGGCTCAAACAGCCTAATGTGATTGTGAATTGCACTCTGGAAGAAAAAGAAAACATCTAACGCTTGTTGCAAAAGACGGAAATCCATTTCTTGAGTTTGATGCTTGCAAACTCACCTTGTCTCCTCTGTGCCGTGTTGCATTAGCGATGTTAGACTTCAGTTGATTTGAGGCCTTTTGCATGACATCAAACCATCTAATAAAAAGTTATTTCATGATAGTTATACACAATACGCCAAACTGAGTGCCCAAAATACAGGGCTGCTCTTGACAGCGTACAAATACCTACCCTGATGTGTCCTGCTCCGTCTCAGCCTGCACCATGTTGCGCAGACTTGCATCAGCCAGTGCCTGGGTGAAGTGTGTATAGGGAGCCATGAAGCAGTAATGGTAGAGACCGGGTCGAAGGCTAGACGACCCCAAACGAAGAGCTTTCCCTTGAGAGCGACTTGGTCCACTAAGGACACACTCGTATTGGGAAGCCAGGTTGGTGCCAAAAAGTGTTTTAAGCAACTGAAAATGACAAGGAAATTTATATAAACACAAAAGTATTACAAAAAATATGTATGGAACCATCGCATAGGGAAGCCGATGACTTTACAGCTCCTGTCGGCAGGAACCAGCCTCTCTCTGTGTGGAGTCAGGACATCTGCAGCACACTGCTCAGTGCTGGAACCATGGGACTGCCACACAAACGCATACACAGTACATATTCAATTACTAACCTGCTGTACACAAACAGTTGACATTGTTGGCTCTCTGGAGAAGCAGGATTTCAAGTATCCCAAAATTTCCTCCACACACTGTATGGAACCACAGAAGATAAGGTTAACATAGGGACTGAACAGAAACATTTGGATTCTGCCATTTCACTCGCATACTTTTCCAATATCATGGAGTGTTGCCAGTTCTAACAGCTGTGACAAAACATCTAACGTTGAGCGAAGAAAACCACCAAACTTTTCCTGGTTACTGTGCAGATCCAGAGTGACCTTCACAAATTCCATATATTAGAATAATGTAGTTACGATCATGGAAACAACATTTAAAGCTATGTAGGTACATTCTAACCTTGTAGTTTGTGTATGTGGCTTTCAGGACATCATAAAGCTTGAGGTAGGTTGGCAGGTGGTAGAAGTTGCCAAGAGTTGTTGATTTTGTGACTGCTGTTGAACCACTGTTGTCTGCAGGTCTCCCTAGTAATAAAAAGGGCATAGTTTTGCATTAAATGGTCACTTATATTTGGCCTAGTGTTTGCGTGGGTTTCCCCTTGTCACCTGTGCTGGCCTCAGTACTTTTCTTAGGGCTCATGGGTGCTGCACTAAGGTCAGACACATCTTTGTCTTTGCCTTTTCTGCGAATGGGACTCAAAGACGGGGTGTTTGTTAAAGAAGGGAGTGTGGCCTGAAAATAAATGTACTTTCAAAATATATTCAATTCATAAAATAGAAACATTAGCATACAAACTACAAGCAGGATTTACCTTTACCGCCGGCCCAGGTGGTGTGTCGTCCAACACATGGGCACAGATGTTGAGTAGTTTTAATAGATGAGAGAAAAGCTGTTCCAACATAAACACAAGAGGGCGCTCTGATATTGCGGCCCAGGGTTCGTCAGTCTTATTTGGCCCAGTGTTGGTGTTTGAATTACCTCCTTCATCTTCCCCGGTCCAGGGATTACGCATGCATTTTGGTGACACAGCTAGACACAAAAAATGGAAGTGAGATTTATGTTTGCTTGTCCAAATGCATCAGTGTTGCTATAACCCACCAGCCAGCAAATTGCCAGCGAGCAAAAGTGCATCTTGGTGTGCAGAGAGATCCAAAGGAAACCAGGCAGAGGAGAGCAAAGACAAAACCATGTTGGCCACTCCCATGATCAACGTTTTCTTCTCAGTGTCTGGTGCAGCTGAAGAGGCTGGGGTGTTGCTGGAGTGTGACAAACTGCAAAAACAAAACAATGTATTAAGCTGAAAGAAAAAACAATAAGAAAGAAATATCCTCTGCACATTTTTGAACCAACCTATGGGCTCTCCCCCTGCTGCGGTTTAAACTGGCCCGAGATGCAAGACTGGATCCAGAGCTCACATAGCCACAGTTCCAGCCTGTGCTCCATTTACACACAGGATAGGTGGAGGCCATGAGACATAAGGCCTCACAGCAGCCAAACTACAAAATAAAAAAAACAGTATGTTGGGACATTGTGGGGAGAATGTCAAAAGAAATGTATCCAAACATTGTGGGAAACACACAGGAATCTTACCGTAAGGGCTCTAGAGGTAGAAGTGGTAAAAGCGTGGGACACCGCAGTGATGACTCTGGACAAGTTGTTCTCCAAAGTGATGTCAGGAACTGTATGAGACAGATTGTAGCCCCTGTATGTCCTGGCAGAATAGATTTGGTCTTTTAAACAGCAGTAAGCCAATGATACTTTTTTTTTAACTTATCTTATGAAACTCATGACTGAGTAAATGCTTACAGCTTGTATCCATTTCTGTGATTACCTTGTGATTGTGCTGACGGTAAGTTGGGACGGGGGTTGTGTTTCATGCATTAGTAGCTGCAGATATACTGAACTCTGGTCTCGGGCAACTGCCACAACTGGATCGGCTTGACCCTGGTCACAGTCATGAAATAATCGGGAAACAACCCTGAAAACAAACAAAAAGGTGTCAAGTCGGCCTGAATCTGAAGAATTAAACTAAAGTTTGAAAAGTACCTGCTAACAATGGAAGCTGCCACATGTCGCACACGGGGGTCATCGTCTCCCAAGAGACCGATAATCACATCATGTAGGACCCTTTCCTGCAACGCTAATCTCTGCAAAGAAAATAGTTTGAATTATATATGAAAATATCAAAGTTTACAGAATCATTTTAGATGCGTGTACGTTCAAAATTGCTGGGTGTGCAAACTTATGTATAACACTCCAACTGGAATGGATGTGTATAAAGCACAAATTGTGTCAACTAATCGTGACGGGTTGGCATACACATCCGCTGGCATCCGTGAGAATATTTCAACCATTACTTAAACAAATTTAATTAATTTAATTTAAATTTAACTAGATATTATTTATATTGCAGACCATTCAAAACAATATCTTACTTGTAGACTACACTTAACACATTTTTTAATACAACTTTTTGTATTAAATATGTATACATTTTTTTGTAAATGTTTTGTATAAATTTTTTTTAACAACTTTTTAATACAATTATTAATGAAACCATACCAACCTATCCATCAAAAAATTGCTGAAAATTTACCCCAGTGTAGTGATGATTTCCTTTGTGCAAAGCTTCTGTTTTGTTCTCTAGGAAGTTAATTATTCTGACAAAACACAGAAGACTTTCAGTCACGCTGCACAGGTTGTTGCGTCATATATTTAATATTTTATCATTCACCTGAAATCAATGTCAGCCATTGTCTCCAATAACTCAGTTCGAACAAGCCAATAGGAAGAGTCCCTGAGAGCCAGCAGGTCAATCAGCAGCTGCAGTCCGAGCTCACTCAGTGTGCTCTTACACAGCGTCATCACGCAGTGCTAAAACAAACACACGCTTAAAACATACAAGTGACAGGCCCAGTCCATCCACAGGACTAAACTTACTCTCACTGCAGAACACGCCATCTTACACGTGACAGACGATTCATCTTGTAATGTTTTTTGGATTAAAGGCACCAAGTCCACCAGGGACAGTGGGTTACCTAAGACACAAAACAATAACAACAATAATAATAATAAGTAAAATTGGCACATTAACACACCTGTTACACTCTGTACACTGGCCAGCCAGCTGTGTATGTTGTAGCGGGTTTTGGTGAGCGCTGCATGGATAATGGCTCCACACAGGATTGCAGTGGCCCCTCGAATCTGAGGGTCTCCATGATCAATGAGGAAAAGCACATCACTGATGTACTGTTGCTCTGTCGGCAGAAATGTGACAGTTATGACAAATATGTTCCATCCTGGCATGCATCAGAGTGGACATGTATGGATATTGCCTGATTAAGTCCAGTCTTACATGAGATTAAATAACAAGGCTAACTATCTCCAGATAAGGGAAACATGGGTTGTTTTCATAGACTGTATATATTAAGGGACATAGTCATGCCTATCTCCGCCGTTCTAACTAATGGGCCAAAAATTGGGCTTTCATGGAGTGATTCAAAATGGCCGCGGGGGCTGGAAAATGTGAAGAAAAAAAACGCATCTGTGCATGCATCAGCCGGCACGAGCCCCATTCATTTAAACGAGTGACTTCAAAAATTCACAGCGAATAAACTAGACTGGTCCAAAAAAATCCACCCCCCTCAGCATTGACACGCATGTGGAACGGAGCTTTGGGCCAAGAGCCAACTTTTGGACAATCCTGTAAAGACGTTTTCGAGAGGTACGAAGATGCTATATGTTAGCACTGGCTAATTCTTATTCCGGGTCCACCCCCATCGGCCTGGGGTGGTATTGCAAGCATGTCAGCGCACGTCATTTTGGCCACTTTTGAGCTGGGACCCGCCCCCACTGGTTGTTTCACATTATTCAATACGTGTCCAATTGGCTGTGATGTTTTTGCCATTGCGACTTAATACTTCACCATGTCTTACCTTCTACAAGGATGCCGTCCAGCGGTTCCAAGTAGAGGGAGTTGAAGAAGGAGGCTGGATGCAGAGCAGCAGCCGCCCCAACACAGCTGAGGGCCAAAGCCTTCACACTCACTCGCACCTCTTTGTCCGGTATAAGGCCTGTGACAACCGTACAGTGATTACAATGCTTTATAAGTCAAAAAGTATTGAACTTGTATTGTTTTATTCATTTTATACAAAAAACAAATGCTCTTATTACCTTTCTTTTGTCCATTCAACAAGAAGGAAGCTGCAAGAAGCCGCACACAGTGAACTAATGGTTCCTTATCTTTGTCAGTGTAATGTCCAATTAATCCTTTTATCCGGGAAGGCTGAAAAATGTACATTAAAGCACAATTGTCACTACTTAGACTACCATATTGTATCAAATATCCCAAATGTCCCTCTATTAGTACCTTATTGTCAGGTTCAGGTTCAGTCGTTTCTTCTTTTGGTAAGAAGCGATCCACACTACTGTCCGAACCCTGGCGGTTGTGACCACGGCCTTCAAATAGGTGAGGCTTACTCAGTGCTGCACCCAGAACAAATTACCCATGTTAAGGACTATACTGTCGAGTAAATATTAACCGTCAGAAACATACCCAGTGCTGACTGAATAAAAGGCTCTTGCTGGGAAGCAGTGGATGCTCCTTCTTCCTCTTCATCCTGAAGAGTCCCGATCTGCATCCCAGAGTACTGGCTCTCACTGCCATCCAGCACCTTCAGCACATAAAGTACACACAAGCAATACACATTCTTAAGCATGCAATCTACAGTATTTACATACACTTATATTTTGTAACTTTGGGACCAAACATAGCAACCCACAACAACAAAATCATTTAAAACCTAAACGGGTCATGCTTTGATTCAAACCACTGAGTTCAAGCCAACATTTTTGGCTTGTAAAGTAAAACACTGAGTATTTAATTAAAATCAGAATATCAAGCTTTTGCCAAGAAGAATTTAGAATTGCTCATTTTCAAAGAAAAATTTGAATTGGGGCAAAAGCCTGTTGCGACCACCTGAGGGATGGAGTGGGGGTGGGGGCAAATACAAAAAAGCTGCATTCATGCTTTTGGGTTTCAGCAGAAAGTTCAATCATTTTTTTCAAAGTGAGATTGAAAAGCATGTTGCTTCAAAATTAGGAAAAATTTGAGAAAACAGGGAGCGAAGTTCAAGGCATAGCTGCAAGCAAGATCAAATTAGGAGATGGAAAAGAGAAGCGAGCAATGGGAAAAGAATGGAGGTAAACTGACAAGCAAGCCCCTCCCACTACAAAGTGCAGCTGACCTTGTCACTAGTGCTAGAGGAGGAGGTGGCATAGAAGGAAGAAGAGGACGAGATAGAGAAAGAAGACGATGTGGAAGATGTGGTGTAGACAGAAGAGTCGCTGTCGGCAGTGTCAGGACCCTCTGTGGAGGTCGGAGAGGGGGGGCATGGCTCAATCATCGGCTGGAATGGAGTGTGCGACTGCAGCCCAAGGGAGGACAGAGGTAAGAAGAGCAGGCAAGACCATAGAGGTAGAATTGTAAGAATGGACAGGTCTATAAAGAACAATACATGTTTAAAAATATCAATTGAGTGGGGAGACTTTTTCAAATGTCCATTCTACAAATCCTAGTTCTATTATTTCATTGTAATCAGTTCTGTCTGAAGCCATTTTAGACCGTACCTTTGAATGATTGCAGGTACTGACTGTTCACCCCCCCCTTGAGGACAACAAGAAAAACCGAAGGTTACACCCACCAGTTCTGCAACATCTGAAGGAGTGACAGCTGAATCTGGTCCCTCTGTGGTGGTTTGGGAGGAGTCGCTGGGAGGAAGCGATTGATCATTTGCACCTAAAAGTGTTTCTCCCTCCACCAACGGCCCGTCCGGCGTGGCGTTCTCGGGAGTGGTGTAATCGGCAGTCTCCGGAGTGATGTTGGCCCCGCCACTTGAGCTTCTGCTGAGCATTTCCTCCTCGTTGTCATTGGGTGAGTCAGGAGTCCCGCCGCTACCTCCCTGCTCAGAGGATGCGCTGAGGTCCACAGAGTCTCCAGGCTGCAGCGTGTGCTGTGACGAGCGGGGCTGCTCTGTGATAATATCCACTTGTCCTGTTGAAGATCCATCCGCACCTGAAGCTGCGGAAGTGATGCATTTTCTGTCATATACCTGGTTCAATTAAATTATCCATGATTTGAATCAAGTTGTGCCCTACTTGAAAAATTTCCAGTGGTGGTGACGTCATTCTTCTCACCATCATCTTCTAACCCATCCTCTTCTCCAGAGAGTATTTTGCCTAAATGCAATACATATGGTTAAAAAGAATAAGGATACACCTGGGTGGTGCAAATGTATTTTTCAGAATGGTAATATTGATATAAAATGGTTCTACCTTCAGGAAAACATACATCCATTCACAAACACTAAAACACTGGTGTTCACAAACTGGCAAGGTGAGCTAAACCCTAACAGTTTACAAGGCAGCAGAAGCTGTATAAGATTAACAAGTGATTTCAGCAATCATCCATTTCAGTAATCTTTGTTCATTTGATTGTATCACTTCTCAAAGAAAGATGAAAAGAAATTAACTAGTCACCTTTCTGCTTTCTGAGGAGGAGGGGACTGTTGGAAGACCCTCCTCCAGCTGATAAAACGGGAGCAGGAAGGCAGAAAGAAAAGGAAAAAAAGCTCATAAAAGCAGCAAGAAAAAGCACAAAATGAATAGGAAATGTTACAGAAATCAGTAAAGACTGTTAGTAAAAAAACATTGTTAAAAATGATGGATTACCAATGAGTTCAAGAATACTGCCAGATCGTGCGCGGCTTTCTGTATCCTGGCGAAACACAGTGCCGTGGGGAATGCTGCCCGCTGTGATGAGCATGTGCAAAAGCTCTGGAGGTGGAGTTCGCAAAGTCTGCTGCAGAAGCTCCAAAGCAGCAGTGACCACATTGTGGTCCCAGTGCTGTGTGTAGTGTAAGGTAAGTTCATAGACCTTTGGACAGAGAGAGACCTCATCAACACAACGGACACAAATTAGCAAAAACAGATACAAATTGTGCTCGAGGGATCTTTTTCCTTTCAGTTAAAAAGTTGGCAACCTCAACCCTGGGAGACTATAACACTTATATGGTAAATCCTTCTTTCTTTGTTTCCCCAAACTCCCCTTGTCCAGGTTCCATTGAGCATCGAGTTAATGGCACATTTAATTAAATGATTTTGCACAATCACAAATTATCAGGGCGACAGTAGCTCAGTTGGTAGAGCATTGGCCTTAAGGCCAGAAGGTCGTGGGTTCAATTCCCACCTCTGCACCTTCTCCACCGACTCCCACTGATGACTGCTGTCGTTGTGTCCTTGGGCAAGACACTTAACCCCACTTTGCCCAAAGCCCCCGCTGAAAGATCAAGGCTATGCTCACAGTCAGAGAGCAGCCGTCCTCCTGTGGACTCACCACCTGCAGAGGGTCAGTGAGGGGCTGGTGCTATGAGACTTGGGTGGCATCTCTGACTGCCACCCCCCTGACCCAGAAATGGATTAAAGGGTAGAAAATGGATGGATGGATGGATTTTGCACAATTGAATTGGGACAGCTTTCCCCTTGCTTCCAGTGGGACATTTAACCAGCAACTTTCCATCAAGCATCTCTCGTATAGTCACATTCATCCACTGTTTTTTCTCTACCTGTAAAAGCTGTTCAGGTGTTGGCTGCACATCCGCCTCCTTCTTTGTGACTCCAAAGCTTCCCTTGATGCTCGATGTATTGACTTGCTGAAGCAGGAGAGGTATCAGGTAGCGAAGCGTTAATAGGACACCCAGAATGAGGTGAGTAGGGTGCTCGTCATCCACAGGAACCACAAGACCTAAGAAGGGTCAAAATAAAATCAAGTGTACACATGGAATAATATATATTATGGCAGGAAACGTACCCAGCAGGACATTTAGGAGCCAGGTGTTGAAATAGGTGGTCCGTCTGGAGTGTTGGCAGACGGTGACCGCTGAGCTTGCTGCTGTCCGTCGAATTGTGGGTGAGCTAGACTTAAGGTTTGCCACAAATGACTTGAGCAACGCCTACATTTAATTGAAAAGAACAAATAAACTTCCATCTCTGATTAAACAGAGACTAAGCATTTCTCAAATAATTTACCTTAATTTCACCATCATTGGCAAAATGTCCCAAGGCCAGCATTATCTTGGGCATGGCTGTAGCCAAGGTCTCTTGGACGGTCTCTTCTTGGCGCTTTGCAATTCTGGTGAGGCACGGTAACATGTTGACAAGATACGGTCTGAAAAGAACAGAAGAAAAACATTTACACTGTTTATATGTAAAAACAAAAATATGTTTTTACATATAAATATATGTATATATAAATATATGTATATATATATATATATATATATATATATGTTTTTACATATAAATATATATATATATATATATATATATATATATATAATATATATATATATATATATATACAAAGATGTATAAAAGTTACTGAAATATAAGACCATAGTGCCTATCACTACTCAATGTGTGATTATAGCACTTTTTTGTGTTTTACAATAATAATGAAATATTGTATTGTAATTAAGATGTCAAATGGAAGAACACTAAAACAAGTCAAAAAACACAGTGCTTAAGTGAAACCAAGAAAGCATCATATTTTGCATTGACCTAGCACCACAGTTCATACCTGCACTTCTGTGGTCTAATGAGATGGGCCAGCTCCGCAAACCTCCACAATGCTGCTCTCAAGCTCCGAGAGGCCCCATTCTGATGACCAACAAAAAATGTCTTTAAATGAGAACCATTGTATTGAGACAAAACAAACAGAGCAGTCGAACACATTGAGGTACCTTTTTGATTTCTTTATACAGTTCAAGCTGCAACCTGGGAAGGTTTGAGTCCATCAGTGCCTGATGATTAAGGAACAGTTTAAATAAATGCACCCAAAATGAATAAAACTACATTATATTTTATTTTTTCTTATGAAAGGGGAAAAGCATTTCCAAAAGTCAGGGCCAGATCTCTGCAATGTGTTTACACTTCCTTTTTCTTAATATTAGCTTGTACCTCAGCACAATTATTTAGGGTATTTTGTTTACATTCTTTCCAAGACAACCAAAACTCTCTTTTGTAAACCAAGCCTGAAGCATAATCATTTGAATGGTGCTATAATGGTTACAAAGTATACTTTCAAGGATTCTAAATCAAACTTGTCACAGTTGTTGGTAAACACATGAAATGTTATTACAAATTAGTTAAACATTTTTGCATAGTTTGTAATGTCTGAGTTTTGGAATGTTAAAAATCGGGTATGGTCAAATGTTCCATTACCTATTTTGTGAGTGGAAACAAAAGACCCTGAACTAGTGTTGTCCAGAAGAATACAAAAAACTAGTGAAAAAGAATGGTAAAAGAAAATAGCAAAAACACTGGAATGGGTAGTGTGGCTCTCAGACTAAATGTCTTACTTTTATAATTTTGTTTAGGCACTCATCAGCGACCATTCGCACATCTGATTCCCCATCATCACTGCAGAGTAAAAACATCTCCATAGCAATTCCCAGTAACTTCTGAAACTCTGGAGATGTTCTAATTCATAAAAGACAAAACATACACAATTAATTACAAAATAAAAGACAAGGAAAAATGTGTTGGTATATAGTTAATTGTTTGACAATTCCCTTTGAAAATAGTTGTGTGCACAGGAACATTTTGTCTCATTTAGGAGGTGAAATGTATGCTTGGTTATTTAATAAAATGTATATATACATTTTAATTTTATTCATCATCAAGATTCAAGTTTTAGATGTGCAGTCACTAGGATTCAAGATTCAAGAATGTATTTCCCATTTGAAGTAAAACAATATAGGAAAAACTGCCAGACTAGCCCAGTGTGCACCAGGATAGTACACATTAGTGCTCCTGGCACAGGGCCGTGTTTTGTATGAATAATTTTCAGTGATAAGATGCTGATGCCAAAAAGCCATAGACAATATATTGTGTTTTCTTTAATTACAAGCACCTGCCCGCCTGTGCAACGTGTTTACAAACACTGAAATGATCTATTATCAATGTAATTTAATTCAATTCAATACCCACCTCAGAGATTGAGCCACTATGTTTTCACATATTGTCAAACAGTGAGTTACTCTGTCCTTCTTGGTGGTAGCCTGTTCCTTTTTTCTAAAAGAGAGGGTTAGGGTTAGTAATATACACACACACACATCTCAGATTATATATATATATATATATATGGATACATGTAGTGATTTCCACGATATGTTAAAACAATATGTAGTTAAACCCATGTAACGTATTATGTGCGAACAAGGCATATTTTGTAATTGACTACTGCCATCGTTTTGTCTGTTCTGCTTTTCAATTAAACGCTAGCTAATACAGTAGAACATAAAGCTTTTGTAATAGCCTAACTAGCTTTGAGCAGCAGCTACCTGATAAGTCCCTTCGAGGCTGATGCGCATGCTAACCCAGGCTAATGCAAATGCAGAAACACTTACTGCCTCTGGACAAGCTCCTCTGCAGTCGGTGGTCCCTGTTGTTGTTGGAATGATTTCAGAGACTCAAAAGCCTTCATCAGTTTTTCCATTGTAGCCATTTTATCAATCAAAACTAAGGCTCCTAGCTCAGCTGGCTAATATTTACTATGGGAGCTAGTTAGCACGGGGGAGACCAGTTAGCATGGAGAGCAGAGGTGCGTAGTGTGCCGACAGTGACAACACTGCTCGGGACAACTACCACCAGCTCTCTAGCGACTCTCTCTCTGCGAGTACACAGTGCTGATTCACAATATTATTGATGGTGGGCTATGCAGATAAAATACATATTGGATGAGGCGACCGACGTGTTGTCCACAAGAAATCACACCAGGAAGTGAAGGGCCACAACAGAGGGGAAAAAGGGGTGCTGCAGGTTTAGCCAATCAGGAGCTCAGCTCACTTTGACAGACAGCTGAGTGGGCCAATAGCGGACCCCCATCTTCCATTGTTGTTTTCAGCGGTCACGGGTTCTCTACAACTTTGGACCATATTTTGGTTTATTCTAGTTCAACTAGAGGTATTGGGCCTTAGCTTTTGCATGATTGGTCCTAGGCCCCTAGTCCCCTGGGAGGGCATCTCTGGTGATGCAGTAACATTTGGATATACTTGCGCTCAAAGAGCAATTCCTTCATTGATTAAATACAAAATGCATTAACGTCTTATTATAGACTTGTATTTGGAAGTCTCCCACACACACCAAGTTTGTATAACACAAAGGCATGAATCAAAACATTTTTATACAAATGGCAGTGTATTATTTCATAATTACAAATGTCTGATATGGTACAACAACCAGTGATACAACATGTACAAGAATTAACAATGACTGCAGTGGTTGAAAGACTTGACTGTACATATATGTATATATTTATATATATATTATATAAAAGAAAAACAAGAGATCCCTAACCCTGTTTAAATACAGACAGCAACACCCCCTCTCAGAGACTTTATCTTTGTTGTAGAACATTGTGTTAACGGGACATATATCCAAACAGGGTAAACAACTCAGCTGGTCACCTTGCATTAATAAAGTTGTCTTCAGATATCAGTGAGATATATTGGCACTAGAAGGTCATCATAACATATACAAGGAACCTGAAGTATTACAAACCATTACATGCTTCAGTACTAAAATGTATGTATTTAAAACAGGCATTACAATGCACTTAGTGCGACATTCAAAACTTTTCAAAGATCATCTATGTGAATGAATTAATCGAGTGGACGGAAGTATAGGGGACTGAAAAAGTATCAAAACTTAACACGGTAATTGGCACATACAATGAAGGCTGTCAGTCTCTATTTTAGACAAAACAAGTTTATATAACTCAATGTGGCTTTTGGTATCGTTGGAAAAAGTTAAAGACACTTCCTATTACCATTGTCCATACACACCATAGTGCAATAAAACCGATATTCACTTATGGATTGAGAAGTGTTTCTCTGAACAGTGACAGGCATGGGTGGAAAATACAGTTCACCTTGAAGGTGATGAGTGTTACAGCCATGTTAGAAATACATCATTTACAAGGTTTAGAGGCTAAGAGCTAAAGCACTAAATATACATTGTCAAGAAAAAGCATAAAATGTGCCTGAGCGTGAAAACACATCACCCAAATCATATTAATGACATAAGTGGCACTTTATGTAGAAAGTTAAGAGCCCCAGTTATGCCAATGGAATGTCTAACATGGGACAAGGCAAAAAATATATATAATTGTACTCTATGGGCAACTATTACGTACCTAAATGAATGCGCTGTTATAAATAGCTTGTCTAAATTTCTGCTCAGGTAAATTCCTTTTTCATATTGACAACAAAATGCAGACATTGCGCGTCTGTACAAAGACTGGTTAATCTTCTTTAAGATTGCACATTAAAATAATTCAATGCACTTGACCTAACAAAAGCTGCATTTTATACAATTCTTCTATACATACACAAAGCAAATGTATCTAAATTGGGTATTCACAGTATTTGTGTGGCGTAAACAGTGACTGCCTTTAGCATGATTTAAAGCATGGATGTGTCAAATGTCAAAAAATGCTCCAAATTATGCAAATAAATCTTGAAATTGTTGGAACGAATTAAAAACAAAACATGAAAATGTTTTCCATGGTAAAGAAAAAAATAAAGAAAAAAAAGTGCAAAAGATATTGGGATTTGAAGTGGTTGAGAATTCCTGTACACAGATTATGTTAACTCTACTCCCATTCTACACTTGCCTAAAACTCAAGTCAATCTTATAAACAACAGTAATTAGATCCAGGGTGCCATTATTAGAAAATAAATATTCAAAACACACAGCAGCGTAAGCCACAGGTAAAACTATCTACTGGTGGCATGTAAGAAAAAAAAAATCAGAAAATCAAAATCAGACTATGCAAGGGATTCATTTGTTGGGAAATAAATGGGTGGAGAAGTCTCCTTTAAAAGGCAACAAATATTAAATATTTATTAATTACTGTGATACCGCAAACAATAAATTGAAACAAAATATTGCTTTTAAAGAATTGACAGATCCCTTTTCACCAAGGCCTTGCAAAATTTAACTCTACCTGAGCCTATGGAGCAGGAGCAGATAGGACTTTGTGTATTCAATTTGCAGAAAAAAGTTCCAACACCAAATTAAAATCAATGAGACGTAAAGCGAATACAAAACAAAGCCGTATGCTACATTGGAAAAAATAAAATGACTACTGGTACTGTGCTTAAAAAATACACACGCACGCACACGCACACATACATTGTCCATACTTATTTCAATAAAAAATAAAAAATAAAATGTATGCATTCAAGTGGTACTTTTATGGCTTTTTGTACAATACAACCTTTAGTGAAAATATACATCTAGACATAAATTCAAGTACAAATGTACAAAATCTTTAAACTCATACTTTTTTCTTTAATTATAATACACTTTTAATACAGCTCATAAATACAGGTCAACATTCACTGAGTTCCTAAAATCTGCGCTCGGTTGGAGTATCATGATGATGTTCAGCGGCGTGATGAGGCAGGTGGAAGGAGTGGTTTAGAGTCGTGAGGGCTCCTCGGCCTCGTCTTCACTGTAGCCCCCTTTAAAACAGACCTGCAGGGACCATGTCAACGTGTTATTTAGAGACAACTAGTGCAGGGAGTTTTTAAGGAAAAGCAAAAATAAAACATGTGAGGAAAGAATGCTTTAAGCCAATTAGAAACAGCGTAAACAAAAATAAAGTTTCTTGAAAGTATTCATGCCCCATAAACTTGTTCACATTTTGATTTTTTATTGAATATTTTTGTAAAAAGACCGACACAAAGAGCCAGGCAGTGGTAGCAAAATCATATCTGATTGTGAAGCATTCCTCCAAGTACAGATTCACATTTTTACCAGGAACCATTTCAACTGGAAACTAGAAAAGGTAGTCATCTAGGCACCGACTTCCTTTTCCTCTTTGTTTTTCACATAAAAACTGAGGTTGACAAACACTGTCCCTCTAGTGAGATGAGTTTGGCAAAGAAGACTTAAGTCAGAGTGCCTCTGACCTCTTTATGTTCACAGCTATGACAAAACAACATTGACTGGAACATGAATACTTTTTCAGAAACTATTTGCAAATTAGGTGTTAGAAGTAAAGATGAAAGGTATTACTCCACATAAAAAAGCAAGTTACCTCAAGATCCAAAAGATTAAAAAGATATGTAGACGAATAAAAAACCAAGCTTTCGCCTGAATCATATGAACTGTATATTAGATTATGCAAAATGATGTATGTTTATTATATACCTCCAAACTAGTCCTGGACAGTGGTAAAGTAAAGGAGAGAAAGGTACCTTAGCCCCCACCCCCTCGCACTGTAGCCCTGAGAACTAGCACTTGCCTCTCTTCTGAACAGGCGATAGAAGAAGCCTCTCTTTGGTGGAGGGTTGGGTCGGTTCACATCCAAATCCGCACACAGTACCCCATCAGTTTCATAAACATTTATTTCTTTGAAGCACTCCATCTCTATCATCTAAAGAGACAGGAATGACATGTTTTACAGTGCCCAGCACAGCGGTGTATGATGTCATCTGAGGGTGCAGTACCTCATTTTGCCAGGGGATGGAGACACTGCCTGTGACAAACTTGTGATAAAAGTCATCATCGGTGGGGTCCAGGTTCACACCTTTGACAGTAGAAAACTGCTCAATGTCCAGAACGTCTTTACAGTAAACGGCCCGCGGCTGAGGAAGAAAGAGCCATAATGAATAAAATATATTGTTATAGTTTTAAATTCCTCTGACTTGCTTGATCTAAAGCAGAAAGGCAGATAAGATAACACTATCTAAGTTCAACAAAGAGTTGACCTCACTTATGGGTCCCTTTCCCTCTCCAAGTTTGACCCTTAAGTGCCTAGACATGAAGAACACAAGAATGTGGAAAACATCTTTGGCCTGTCTAAGTTTGAGGTATTTACATAAATATGCATTTTAGTCCGGTAAACATACAAACATATACTGATCATTATTATTATCATAATTCCCCTTTCTATTTCTGTGAGATTTTCCGCAACTGCTTTTGTGGCCTGGAGAGCACATTTATACTGGAATAGTTTGTTTATATCTGACAATGGTATTTCCTGTGCACTAATTTTCAGCTCCCCTTGGTTTCGTGCAACTAGAGTCGGAGTGCGCTGCATGTATTTGTGTCTCTTACATCAGGAATGAAGGGAGGGTCCATGATGTTGGCCTCCAGTCGTTTGAAGTTTATGTTCCTGAAGATGGGGTGCTGCTTGACCTCTGTGCCCCCCTGACCCTGACAGCCGAGCCGCTCCTTGGGGTCTTTAGACAAGAGCTGAAACCAGAGCGGCAGAGAGAGAGGAAGATGTTTTGGTTAATGGAAACAACCTCACATAAAAATGCGATGTACGAGATGATGATGAAGAGCTTCTGTCTCAGGGCTATAGCATTAATTCTTCACCTAAAGAAACCCAGTGTTCTATTCCTGACAAGGTCCATGTTAGGGATAGAACACGAACAACCAAGCATCTAAACCAGAACCAAAGACGCCATCAGGGGTTTTCCAACATAGAACCTCTGGGGTTCCCAAGAACAGACCGTAATTTGTATATTATTTGGATTACTACAAGTTATTGTGGAATAGGCGGTTCCTCCTACCAACCCTAAAACCATTACGGTAAAGGGATCACTTGTCTCACTTCTCATCTTTGTTATATACATTATATTTGCAGAGAAACAGGAAGTACAACTCTAATTTTAAAACTGAATGCAGTGAATAAATAGGATGTGAGAAAAGCAAAAAAAAAAACCTGGAACGCAAATCTTTAACTATAAAAGTATATAAAAAGTTGAAACAATTCTTAGATGTTTAAAGCCAGTTTAATGCCATCTATGGAAGAATATAGCCAATGTAGAAAAATTAACATTTTCAGAAAACGCTCACCAGAAGAACTGATGTTTTCACGTGCTTATCAATGATTAAAAACAGACAAAATGAAAATTGAAAGATGCTTTTATGTAATCCATTTCTTTTTTTATAAAGTTACGCCCGACAGAAAAGTGAAAAGATGATTTCAAGTTATAAATCAAAATTAGTTTAACACCTTTACTTCCTTTACATTCAGACAAAGCAGCCAAAGCATTTACATTTCAATTAACATGTCAAAATAATATAGTCAACACAGAAAAATATCTTATTATAACCAAAAGGCTAGATTTAGAAACACTGCCATTTACCAAATCATTTTAACTATTCCTATACAAATTTGTATTCACCCTGCTCTGCACGTCTGAGCTGAGAGGGAGGGGACGTTTATTTGTGTGACGCGGTGGAACATTCTGACCCAGGGTTCGTTCGACTTAAAGCCTCCCTGGGGAGAGGAAGAGTGGGCTGGGAAGAAGAAAGGTTTCACAGAGAAGTTAACAGAAGATAAGGAATGAGAGGGAGAAATGATGAACGAGAGACATTTGGGGTGTGTTCATGGGACACAAAAGACCACAACATCACCCGCGTCCCAAATTAGAAGAGTGATCTTTGATGTCAGGAGCATAGCGAGAGGACACAGGTGTGCATTTGCCGAATATTGCATAAAAATGGGAAACACTGCGTTATCACAGCGGTATCACACACAATTCTAAATCTTGCTTTAGTTTGTACTGGAGTTGTTCACAAAAAGATTTAGCTAATGTGAACACTTCTAAAACAAAAATAAGAATTTTCAGCTGGTGTAAAACTTTAGGCCAGTGAGCATCATTGCTTTGGTCTCCGCCAATTTCTTCCAAAATACATGAGAAAAAAAATCCTAAAACATGCACTAAAATGGGAACGGAGTTACAGCAGCGACCGAAATAACCAGTGTTTAAACGCCATTACTACCAACACTGCTAATAACTGAACCCACTGAACTGATATAGACGCCGTCAACGTTATCCCCATTTTTCAGTCATAATGATGAGGTGAAAACTGCGGCAAAAGTTTGTAAAATACAATCGCGGAAAATATAAAGTCGTAGAATATGCAGTGGACTTTTGATCTCAAATTTTGATGTTACAATTTTCACTGAAGAGATATATACAGATTATACTTGATAATAAGAGGGAGATGCCCGACCAAAAGGGATGTCTTGCCAAATCATTTAATAATGAAAAATAAAACTGTTTGATATTGAATTTTGATTTTAAATGTATTAACATAGTAGTGAATAGTATATGCAGAAATGGGCTCATAGGGCTCTCTTCCAAGAACACCCTTGCACTTACCTGTCTGCAGATGTTCTTTGATTCCTCAGAGAACTTATCGGAGTATTCCTCCTGGTCTTCACGCACTCGTCTGTCCACTTCTTCTCTTTTGACACGTTCCTTACGCTTTCGGAACGGTGACTGGCCCTGGATCATCTCAAAGATCAAACAGCCCAGTCCCCACCAGTCTGGACTGAAGGTGTAGCTCTCATTCTGGATCACCTCTGGAGCTGCGGACCACAGACCACATGTTAAATCACGGTTTTCTCAGGATTTCACAGGGCCATGATAAAAGAATGCATAATAATTGTAGTGTAGTTGAATTTAGTTAGAGAAATTGAGGTGATTAATTAAATAAATAATTTGAGTGTGTGTATGTTATACTGCTAATGCTTACCCATATATCCAACTGTGCCGACCCTCCCTCGTATCGTCTCTGCTTCTGGGATTTGAACAGCCAGTCCCAGGTCAGAAATACGAATGTGACCTGTTGAATAAAGATTGTAAAATGAACATGTTAATTCCAGCTTGTTTTACGGTTGTGGTATTTATCCACATACATTTACTTTGTATTGTCCTGCCAGTGGAACAAATGCTAAAGCTTTGTTTGAACATTATTTGTGAATATTCGTTATCAACCTTTCCTTTTATGTATGCTTTGATTCACCAAGATAGTAAAATACTCCATCAAATCAGTTCTGTCACATTCTGTAAACTGTGATAAACAAATATAACCTCTATTCCTTATTTTGTAAACTTGAGATCGAAGCCCAATTTTGCCACTAGGACAAAAAAGTGAAAAAAGAGCCAGTCCACTCTCATCCCAGAGTGTCAAATAGTGACTCGCAAGGTTTTCTTACACTTATGCACAAGATAATATGTTAATCCCAATGTGATATGTTGAAAGTACTAATAGTTAATAATGGAGCTGCAAAGTGAATTGAAGTTTTGAATGTATTTTTCCTTACTTAATGACCACTTAATGACCAAAAGGTAAATATTATACATTTTTACATTTCCTCTGAAAATAAGTCTGAAACCTGAAAAGTTATGATACAAGTTTGATCAGAAAGGGACAAACAACTCGGCACAAGTGTGCAGTGGCTAGTAGTTACTACATTGTTTTGTCAGCCTCTAATTCCAGTGGGTAAAATGAATGAGAATTCAACAACAGAACCAAATGTGTGTGGTGGGACTTAGCAGATCCATACCAGTGCCTCTGCGTAACGCTTGAACAGTGACACTAATGGCAGGACTATAATGTATTATGTTCTACAACTTTGCTCCAGATAAGAACTTACCGCGATCATCAAGAAGAATATTTTCGGGTTTCAAATCCCTAGAAAAGAAAACAGGCAAAACATGATTGGTTGACTGTCTTTGTTGCCATAAAAAGAGACATAGTAAAAACACACTTTATGAACTTCTTCTATTCACCCTTCATTGGCCTCGTGAGTCGTGCCATATTGGGCTTTAAACATGGCTTAGTGCTAATCTTATCCGTACACATCTCTGCTTAATTTGTCACTGCACAGTGAACCATAGCAGAGTTATTGTTTTTTTGCAAAGTTGAAAAGACATTTAAAAAAGGATTTTAACCAGATACAATATTTTATTATGGTACTGTCTGACCAAGAAGGTACAACCAAGTAAAAACACATGTTTATAATAAAAGTGAATTTTTCCTGAAATGGTTAGCAAAGGATGTGTGCCAATAACAAATATGTATTTTGGCGTGGCTCCTGATCTTTGTTCACAGTACGATTTTAAGACGAAATGCAAACACTTTTAACCATTGGGATTTACAGGATCAGACCATTTTCCATCACCAACTTATTTTATTAACGTTGCTCAAAGTAGTAGAATTCATGGATTAATAATACTAAATGGAAATATCTCAAAAATATTCCAAAATATTTACAAAACTTCTCCAAGTGACACTCAAAAGTTGTAGCGTGCACCATTAAACTGAACGAACCACACACATTATGGGTTGCCAGATGCTCAAAGTGCTCAATAGCTGCGTGAATTGCACAATCACAGTGGATATCACATGTTTATATGAGTGAAATTGTAAAATCCAGTTTAGGGAAGAGTAAGTGGTACAGATTGTAAACCATGAGCTCAACAAATAACACTGGGAACATAACAATGGGTTTTTTACATCGACATTTTTGTTCTTAGCACTTGAAATTTCACAAAACTGCTTCAAGTAAAAGAAGATAATCATGAGGATAAACACTGTCCTCAACAATAGGAGTCATTGAGAGGCCAGTCCCATGCTGGAATATGTCTTGTAAAAATATCCTTCTTCTGTTGACATTCCCAAAAGCCTTGACTGATGGTGACAGGTGCATATAGAGATGAATGCGGTCACACATTAGCACACATTAGTAAAAAATAAACTGATGCGGCTTGATATTATATAATTCCAAATGGACTTATGCATTTTTGTACCTTCATTTCTGTTGGTCAACCATCAATTCCCCATGTATGAAAAAGAAAAGCCATAACCCACTTTTTCCAGTCAAATCAATTATTCTGGCATGAATCAGGATTGATCTGTACAGTATGCATCGATGCACACATGGAAAGCACTCTGGTTCAGTTGCTGTTGTTGCTGTAAAGCGCTATTGAAAAGCAGTGGGATTGCAAGATAAACCAACTCGTATGCAAACAATTCAATCGTTTTAAGCTCAATTTCCAAGATAAGAACATGTATATGAAGCAGCAATTAGAAAGAGAAAGTTATTATTAGTATCACTATCATTAATAATATTTACAATAATTGAATGTAGCTTTGAGAAACCAGAAACACTTTATTTTGCTATTATCAGTGCAGCCAATCACACATTTGAATTTTGATTAAACGTCTGCATTTACGCTAATAGGAAATGTGAAGAAGCATTTTTCATAATTTAAATAAACATAGGTGAATAAATCATTTCTCAAATACGTTCTTTGTAAACCAATAGAATGAGGTCCCCATAGACTCACCTGTAGACTATTCGCTCACGGTGCAGGTCCTCAAGGCCACAGCAGATCTCCGCAGCATAGAATATAGCCCGCTGCTCGTCAAACCCAGAGTTCCCCATGTTGTAGATGTGAAACTTCAGGTCACCACCGTTCATTATGGTTAACACCAGGCACAGCGCATCCTTGGTCTCATAGGCATAAGCTAGATTAACCTGGGAAGGACAAAAGAGGGAAAATAAGTTGGTTTTAAAGACAAAATCAAATTAAAATGGGTGTGGGTGTATAATGTATGCAGTAGCACGTTTTGGAATAGAGTTCAGTGACGGGAGAGGGTGCATAGACGTTTTCAGAACAACCTATGCAATGAAAACAAGATTCGAAGAGCCACTAATATAGTTTTATATAAGAATAAGATATATGTATAAAGATACAGTTTGCTTTCTCATCATCTACTCACTAGCCAAGTTCTGTTATGAGTAAACTTATGTTTTACCGCATCAACCACACACTTCCCGAATGCCAACATGATCCATTATATGAGATCCAATATTTCTCTGTCCACTCTATTCCCACTGTGCGGTCTTTCGTTGCCTGGAGGTCAGTGACTTTTTGGGTGCTCTGTTTGAACATAAGCAGGATGTGGCTGCCATCAGGAGCCGTCCCATCTGCTCACCACTGTCGCAAGTGGAGAGATGGGAAAATACTTGAGCCCCACAGAACAACAAGCCCAGTTCTGTGTATGTAAACAAAATGTCGAAATGAATCTCAAGGCCAAGTCAGCAGGACAGAGGAAAATCTATTCCAAAAATCACTAAAAAAATAAAATATGTAGGTTAAATAACAATCTGACAAAAAATGTAGCATTTAATTCAATTCTATTCTATTTTTATCTGTAAAGCCATGAACACAAAAGTAGTTATCTCAAGGACTTTACAACATTGTCCATTCGCCAACATAGATCTGAGAATAATAACAATTGTAGCAATCTAAAACCATTAAAATGAAAAAAACTTAGTAAACCCCTTTTAAATGTTAAATCTAGTAACAATACAAATATTCACATAAAGGAGTAATTTATCATATATGACTAAAACAAAAATATATCTATTGTAGTTTACCTGGTAGAACTTTTTCCTCTAGTACCAACTAACTTGAACTACTACTAAAATGCAATCCAAAAATCTACTTTTACATCTATTACATCTATTACAACATTTTACTTTGTTGTTTACTTTTTTATTTGTAGTTATTTGATCTAAACTCCTGATAGCATATTGATGACATAATGTTAGAGATCGGACAAAAAAGTTAAATAATTGTCAGAGAAAACATGTAAAATGTATGAAAATGTTTTGTCTAAGCCTCTCAAGTGTGACATCATGAACTTCCTGGTACGTACTTCCTGCAATATGTTGTGTCCGGCACAAACTTCTTCCTGACTGACAACACTTAAATTTACAAAAGTAATTATCTGCAAATTCTCGTAGTTTCGTTGAAACTACGAGACTATAGAAGCAGGAGATAGAACCATGAGTTGCTGAAACAACATTAAGTAACCGGACTAACAGACTGAACACAGAGCGATGGGGCTTTGAGAGAGCTCTCCACTCTCCTCCTGCTGCTGTTTGGTCAGCGTTACCACGGAGACTGAGCAGAGAAGAGGCTGAGACACACACACATACACACACACACACACACACACACAGAGAGACACACACACAGACACATACACACACACACACACACACACACAGAGAGACACACACACATACACACACACACACACACACTCACACACACAGACACACACACACACACACACACACACACACAGAGACACACACACACACACACACACACACTCACACACACAGACACACACACACACACACACACACACACACACACACACACACACACACACACACACACACACACACACACACACACACACGACGAACAATGCTATTCCCAGGTCACGAGAGATCATAAGTGTGTCAATAGCCTCCAAGAAATGCTTTATCCGCAAATATAAAACAGCAGGAAGCAGAGATATAAATGAAAAACTACAATATCAACATATAAAAACAACTGCGGTCTGTTGGCTTAAAGCTGGGGTACCTAACTTTAAAACCACCAAATAATGTACTATGGAATGAAAGGCCTGTAACTAATGCCAGGTTCTAAAACTGTTAGGATTACTTCAGGGTTTTATCACTGGTTTTCACATGAAAGTATTTGTTGGCATCTGTCTCTTTTTCAGACAGAAAAGCGAAAAAGAGGACCACCCTCACTCAGCCAATCAGCTCTCTGCCCAAAGAAAATGTTATCTTGTAAAAACATGAGGTTCAGTAGCCCTGCTTTAACATTTCAGTCGGCCCTAATGGCCTCGGTGAAGTAGCACAGATTTGTGCTGGCGTGTCATATTTTAGATCAAGTTTTGATGAAACAAGGAAGAGAATGTGTTTCGGGACCAGATTGTGACCAATCACAGCGGACCACTGGCCTCGTGGTCCACTGTGAGGACTTCCTCGTCTTCGTCACCGGTTACACAGCGAAACAGCCATCCAAAAGAAAGTCCCGTTCCTCCGCGCTTCCCGGTTCTATCGTTCTATGGTCACGCCATCCACGTGCAAATCCATGTCCATGTATTATCCATACTGGGAGAGCCTAGCTCCGTCCCAACAGTGGGTGTGTGTGGGGGGCTATTGACCAGATGCATCAACGTCATCCAGTCACGTGATTGTGCATGAGCTTACGGCGGAAGTATTGGAAACTAGCATTGCGGCGCGAGCAAAACGGACACAACTCTTTAAAACGGAGCTTCCTCTCTTGAATCGAGAAGTGGCTGCTTCAAGCACATGTTCGATTACGTTATTGGTGGAAGTAGGACATCTTGTCAGGGCTCACAAAGAGTGTTATTTGGAGAAGTTAAGGATCGCCGAACTGGATGTTGACCCGTACCGTCCCCCCCCCCAGTATCGATTAAATTAAATGTCTAATTTTGTCCGAATTCACCCCACATGATATTTATCATTATGTCGTTAACAATGCATCCCCTCACACTGGAGCAGATTTAAAAGTACATTTAGCTGGTAGCATTAGCGCATTAGCAACAGTCCACTTTTCTGTGGCTTTTCTGTCCACAGCCAAACCTGGGAAATAGTGAAAAACGCAACTGACTCTTTTTCACTATGTCTAATAAGATCTATCATCTTATTAGACATAAGATGATAGATTTTTATTTGTGCCACAGCGGGGAACATGTTGTAGCGCACATACAGGACATTAGTAAGAGACATGTTTGACTTGTATCATTGTCCTCCAAATAAATTGATGGAAAGAAAATAAATACAACTTGTGATTGATTTATCTTGTAAAAAGTATTCATTGTATATTAGGGAGTACACGGCTGCCAGTCCTTTTGGTTGATTTCCGTTATCGTCGTCTGATGTCTTCACGACGAGCAGGTATCAGATAAAACCACACATCTGGCTTATGTCCTTGCCTGTTAGTACAACCAACCGCACTGCAAAGTATCACAGTTTTGGCTGTAATTTGCTGAAACAGGTTGTTTTGGTCAGGTTTCCATAGGCTCGCAGTTAGACTTCCGCCGTATGTCACGGAGAGTGGGCGTGGCCGGGACGTCACATGCAAGTGGTCAATTGAGAGTGAGGAGTTGTCGTCATAGCACAGAGCCCCTCCCCGTCTCCGCCATGTTGGTAGGAACCCAGCGGCAAACAGTTGTTGTTAACTCGGTAGCAAAGGAGGTCATCGCTATTTCTGTTTTACCATGCCTGGAGCTCATTGCTGTGTGAAAAACTGCTCCAGTACCTCACACAATAAGAAAGGAAAACGTAGGAACGGTTTACAATTTTTTAGGCTACCAAAATGGATACAACATCAGGGAGCGCAAGTGTCTGACCTGACGAAGAGACGCCTGATGGCTTGGTTGGCTGCAATAAGAAGAAAGGACCTTACTTTCGATCTCAGCCGCCAGTCGATGAGAGTGTGTTCTCTGTATTTTCACTCGGGTACGTCCTAAAATCTCTTTATGTTGTTTTTTTTAAAGTTAAGAAGTGTAGGTTACCTAGCTGTTAATGTTGCAAACACTGAAGTGCATCTTAAGTTAGCTGCCTAGCTAACTATCTAACAAACTGTTGCCTCTATGAAAATGCTTAATGGCTAACCATTAATGCTAACTAAGAATATTTAAGTTTCTGCTCATTATCCTACCTTGTTGGTGGAATATGGGCACTCAAAGTGCGTTTGTCTCTGTCTCTTATGTTCTCTAAACCAGTTGTGCCCAAACTTTTTTTTTGTCTTGTGTTGCCACTTAGAGCCCTGCACGGGCCTATTATCTGGGCCCGAGCCCGGCCCTGGCCCGAGGGGGTGGCGCCCCAGCCCGGCCCGGCCCGATATGGTTTCTGAATTTTCAGGCCCGAAACCCGCATCAAGCCCGCCTTTTTTTTTTTTTTGTAACCTCCCATAACAATGTTTTAGCGTAGTATATAGTGCCGCGCACTGATATGAACGCAGACTTAGCTAGAGGGCGGAGTTATACATGGTAGTGATGTGTTGCAATGAGTTCTGTGTGTGCGGAGGAGTGGTGCAGAGTGAACGGCCGCATCTGTATGATGCCCCCGATGCTGCAACACATCTGCACATTACATAAGTAACGCTATGTGCCGTCAATGACAACACTACACAAACAACAAACACTACAGCGTGATAGAACGCTATATTCAGTGGGTGCGCTCGTAAATCTATTCTGCCGCTCTGAAAATGAAGAGCCCGAGCCCGGCCCGTGTCCGAGGTCATTATGCGGTCATCGGCCCGAAGCCCGGCCCTCGGGCTGTCGGGCCGTCGGGGCCCTCGGGCCAAGGGCTCAAGTGCAGGGCTCTATTGCCACTACCCCCTGAGCCCTTTTATGAAACCATGAATAGCGTTACCTTCTTGTTTAATATTTCTTTAGATTCCAGATTGTTTAATAATCTTATTAATCTGATGTAAGTAAACCATTATATGAGATTGCTAAAAATAGTTGAGATTCTGTTCATGACATTATGCTACCTTGTTGCCAGTTTAAAGCATTGACTACATAGATTATTCTGTTCTAGGTAAACCATCATATGAGATGTTGGAGAATCACCCTGACTGGACACCATCCTTGCGGTTAGGCCACAATAATGTTAAAGAAACAGATGGAGCGCGATATCAGCGGCAAGTAAAGCGCAGGACCCAGCATCTGGAGCAGTCATCACTCCCAGCCCAAGCCCAGCAGCCTCCATCGCCAGCCCAAGCCCAGTAGCTCCCATCGCCAGCCCAAGCCCAGCAGCCTCCATCGCCAGCCCAAGCCCAGCAGCCTCCATCGCCAGCCCAAGCCCAGCAGCCTCCATCGCCAGCCCAAGCCCAGCAGCCCCCATCGCCAGCCCAAGCCCAGCAGCTGCCTCAAGGAAGGATGAGGAAGCTCTCACCCTTCCAGCTTGTCCTATTGACTGTAATGCGCCTCAGATTAGACCTTCCATCTCAGAATTCACGGTGAGAGGGTGATTAGTGTTGTGCGCAACAAATTCAAATTCTTACATTCAACTGTACCTGTGCATATGCTTCTCAAATGTGAGGGTGAAAACCTAATGCCTTTAGATAAGATTGTCACTGTTTGCTGTGCCTTAACAAACACGTGCAAAAGTGTTGTTTGAGTGCCTTGTTCATAACTTATGAACCAACCAGAACCCCTCATGTCATCTGGATCCGAGTCCAGAGTCAGAACCAGACACGGAGAAGCTGCATTCAGCTTCTATGCTCCACATGTCTGGAACAAACTCCCAGAAAGCCTCAGATCAGCTGAAACACTCAGTTTGTTTACATCCAGGTTAAAGACCCACCTGTTCTCAGCTGCTTTTGAATATGTTTTATTCTAATGTACAAATCTGCACGGCTTCTTTTAAGCTGGAATTACTTGTCTGTTATCTTTTTCTTATGAATTTTTGTTTTTAATTTTAAATCATGCTTTTTATTCTGTTACTTTTTAATGCTTCTGCACCCAGCTGTAATGCTTCTTAATTTTTAATTTAAAGTACTTTGAATTGTTTTGTAACATGAATTGTGCTGTACAAATAAACTTGCCTTGCCTTTTTAATTTCTTTGAAATAAATGTTTGAAACACCTTCATGTGGCAAAGCAATATTTATGGAGAAATTAACATTTTTTTGGAGAGGGGGTGTAATCTCTTGGAAAAGTTAACAGTGCAAAAGAACGTGTGCAGTCAACGTATAAATATTTCAGCATGAAAAGACGGACAACATAATAATAAAATAGTAACACTGCTGATAGTGCAAAAGAACCAAACATACCAACAAAAAAACACTATTTGGCTCAGGAAAAGAACGTGTGCATTAAAAGTATAAATATTTCCAGCATGTAAACATAAACAACATAAGTAATAATAATACTGTTATTAGTGCAAAAGAACAAACAACATCCAAACAATAAAAAAATTGGGTTTTTTTGTATGTTTTTTGTTCTTTTGCACTAATTATAGTATTTCATTATTATGTTGTTTATGTTTACATGCTGGAAATATTTATACTTTTAATGCACACGTTCTTTTCTTAAGCTGAATAGTGGCACTATTCGGCTTAAGAAAAGAACGTGTGCTGTCAACGTATAAATACTTCAGCATGAAAAGATGGACAACATAATAAAATAGTAATACTGCTGTTAGTGCAAGTACAACGGTGTTTTCACCGCCTGGAGGCTTGTAGATGGCCAAGTCCTGCACCCAACCACAGCAGAAAGCCTCGTAACTCTCCAGTGACTTGTGACTTCTAAACTCCTGCATTGTGTAATAACTAACACCGAAAACAAGGTAATTCACTATATCCATGTACGTGCACGGAGGCAAAAAGTCAAGGTATTTTTGCCACTCCGCTGCAGGAAGCTCGTATGGGTCTACCTGTTGTATGTCTGAGAGCTTCTCCAAATAACGTTGTTTTGCTTTTCCCTGTACGGTCCATTTCCTTTCGCCTTCACTTTCTCCATTAACTGTCTTGCTAGTGTTGTAATCGTAGATGTATCTACTGCCGAAATAATAAACGCGCTCAAGCTAAAGACCTCTGGAGCGTTAGCATAGACTGTATATATTGAGCGTTTGTGGCGTTGCCCCTGGCAACCGATAGAGGATCCTATTAACATGGCCGACCGGATTAGACCCCGCCCAAATTATCACGTGACTCCTCATTCTCAATAGCTTCGTTGGTGCGGGGAGGGGAGGAGAAAGAGAGGCCAGCGAGTCCGCGGCTTCAAAATCCCAAAGTCAGTTAGTGCAGCTTTAAACAGAATTTTTGGTATTATGAAAATGATCATATTTTTCCTTATCAGCCAGCTTGAGTTGGGCAAGAAAAATATTTTTTGTAATTTGACTATGAATGCGTAATACATCTCAAAGCCAGCTCAATATGCCAGCTTTGCACAGTTAAATTGCCTACTAAGTACACAAATCTACTTTGCATAACTTACACAAAGCAAACATGGGAGAAATTAAACGGCTTTTCCACTAACACCACTCAATTAGCAGTTATTCCTGGATCAACATTTCTCTAAAGGAAAACAACAGTGGGCCAAAGCTAAGTTTTCTTTTCCTGCACCTGAGACAGGCAAAATGAGAACTCTACAATGTTTGCAAAGGCACAGGTCTGTTCTGCAGCTTTCCACACGTCATTAACGGCATGTATATTGCAAGTAAAATTGAAATGAAAGTGAAAGTAATGAGGAGACGCGCATTGCCTTGTAGAATCCTGGTTTTCTGATGTGATTGTGCAAACGAGGGCTGCTCCATTATAACCAATGAAATGGGGCTACAAGATTACCGCAAAAAATCTAATTGTGATATTTCTAGAAACTGAGGAACCCTAATCTTAATTAAGGTTCAATAAAAGCAAAGAAAATATAGTTACATATACCTTGGATACATTATTTAGCGTCTATACCAGCGTCTCAATTTAAATTAGCCATTTTTGCGTTCATCAATGTTTGTGCTAACAGAAATAGTCTTGTTTAAGTAACATTTTGTGAATAAATCAGACCACAAAATGCTGTCTTTATCTTGTCAGAAAACATTTCATCCTTTACAGAGCGAGTGAGGGTGGTCCTCTCCTGAAATATCTGACCTAAAGATGTGACAGAGGCCAAAATTACACATATATGAAAACATGGATTTTACAACATAGTCATATTTCATGGGTTAGTAAGGCACTGCAATTTTAATTTTTGATTTTATATACTTCATACACTTAAACTTGTTTTAATGTCTCATCTATTGATTTTAGCTCAAGAGAATGTGTGTGTATTTGTGTGAGTGTACATGTGCATGTGTGTGTATTTGTGTGTGAGTGTGTGTGTGTGTGTGTGTGTGTGTGTGTGTGTGTGGGTATGAGCGACCAGATTATGTGTAAAATAGAAAAAGACAAAATGGCTGTACTTACTACAAAACTACTGTTGACTTTTTCTAAAATGCGTTTTTCATTTAATGCCATTGCTTCCCCTTTTCTTTTCTTCACTCGTTTCTTCTCCAGCTTTTTGCAGGCGTACATCTTACCAGTGGCACGCACTTGGCAGGCGCAAACCTGGAAAACAGGCGGCGAGGAAACACGATCAAACACAGACGTTTCAATGAAAAACACCCTAAAAGCCACAGCCAATAATGGAGAGAAGTGTCCAGCCAGAGACTCTCCCACCGTCACTAACGGGCTGTTAACGAACTGGTAAGCGTCACTGGTCCCGACTTCAATCGTTCGCACAAACGTAAACAAGCCAAACGTAAAAACTTGCGGTCATGTCAAATCTGTGAACTGAAATCGCACTTACCTCGCCAAAGCCTCCTTTTCCCAGCACTCTGTAATGTCTGAAGGTATTTTTGGTAACCGGTTGCCTGCGGACGAAATAGAAATAAAGAAGACACAAGTGATTAGATTATGTCATGCTCTGAGCGCTGACGTCGCAAACAGACTAATGTCCTTATACATTATTAATCTACACTGATGACGGCCGCAGTCACCAGCCCATTAGACACATCTATTATTAAACAATTATAGAATCACCACAATGTTTTTGGGCGGAGACTCAGATTCAGATACAAAAAGGGCATTTATACATTCTAAACGTTGGCTTTGGGGAAAAGTTGTATAGTAATATTATTATCTAATCTATTATGAGATACCTGAAAATTTAACAATACAAGATTGGACTGTAGCGTAAATGTTGTACAGGAGAGTGGAAACTAAGGGAAAACCATAAAGGTGAATAACAATCAAAGCTAGGGGTATTTGTTGTGGTTTCAAAGTTAACAGTTGCGTTTTATGACCAGTTTTCACATGCATGCATTTTTGGCTTCTGAAAAGTGAAAAAAAATATCAAAGCTAACTAAACAAGACTAAACACAACTTTCTTTAGGGACAACCAATATATTTATGAAACAAAAGTGGATAATCCAGTTAGGCCCCTTTCTCAAACATTGTCTGGTGAGTTCTGCAAAGTTGTTTTGGTCACTTACAACCTGCGAGAACATGTGTCTAAACTCAAGGAAATTATAAATACATGGAAATGATGAAACATACTGTGCATATATTCATGTTCAGAATGGAGCAAATGATACACGTGTAAATCTAAACTCAACTAATGATCCTGCTCAAAACCAATCCTGCACAAACCAAACAATGCTGGTGATTGAGGAAGATCACACAACTGGATTTTTGAACAAATAAATTAAATTACACTTATTTGTGCAAACACAGATGCCTAAAACATGTGTATTCTGTATGTATTGCCACGTTCATTATTGTGAGTTGGAGCTTTTTGGAGAAAACACCTTTGTAATTAGGCGTCTATTTCAAGGCGTCACTACGTCATCAGTTGGTGCCAATTATACTTTCAAATCAATTAAACTTTTAAAATGACTATAATCATGTATAATGTGCACTCACCTTTCCAACCATTTCCACTGCAGGAAGCGAGAGAAGTACATGGACTCCTGGTAAGAGGAAAACGGAGCTCCACTCAGATAATCACGAACGATTCTGGAAAGAGCCAAAAGAGACATGTTTAGAATTTCAAGGTTAGAAAAAAATAAGTCATTCTAAGTTGGTAAATGCAGTTTTTAAGTTTGCTTTAACCTCTTAACACCCGCCTCATTTTGGCTCGTGCACAATGGTTGGCCATACCCAAATGTCTTTGCTTATTTAAAAACACATCTTACATCTCACATGCTTGTGTGATGCATCATTTTAAAGCTAGAGCCTTCTAGTTTATGTAAAAAAACACTAAAATAATGTTTGTCATTCCTATTTCCCTCTGCATCCTTTGAAGTTTGGGAAAAAAACCCAATTTTTTTAGCCTCACCTAACATTTTCAATTTCTAAAGGCCCTAAAAAAGGCATACTTCATTGTAAGTTCACAATATTCAAACCCTGTGGTCATTGTGTTGTTGACAACAACTGTCTAAAGTTTCAGACTTCTAAGTTTTATAGTTTTTATGTAGTTTCTCCTTTTCATCAAGTAGTGCACATTTGGCACAATTGTGCCAAATATCTTTACTGACATTTAATCATCATAAAAACAATATTTTTTATTATTGGTACTTATAAGTTACTAATCTATGTGTGCTTTTTTTTTTTTAAATGTCAAAGTTATTTTTTTATGAGTGTAAATTCATTGCAGCTTCGAGAGCGTCTTTTGGCTGCCATTACGCACAATTCTACAGGCACAACATAAGACAGGACACCATTGTCCCACCCCTTGCTCGAAAGCTTTCCTCATTGGCTACACGGACATGTCAATCAAAAATCCCGGAAAAAGAAGCAAACAAGCAGGGACAACAACAAAGATCAGTGATCCATGCGCAAACAGCAGCGCTAGCTGTATTCACGGGAGCTCTTGCAGACCCAAAAATTTGTCTAGCTTTTCGGGAGTAGTCTCATTTGAAAGATAAGGAGCTCAGGAACACGTAGATACCAGATGTTCGGGTGAAAAACAAAGCTAAAAGTCCGTTAAAAGTGAAAGAGCAACATCTGTGCTCTTTTTTTTTGTTTTTTTTCGCTAAAGATAAATGCAAATTTTTGGATTATTTCTGCAGAATGGATTTTACTTTGGGAAATACAAGTGGATATAATTTTCCTTTGGACTGTTCCAGAGAGAATGATGTATTGCAAGCTGGGAGAACAGCTGATTTATTTGTACAGCACAAGCTCAAAAGGTAAAAAACTATTTCGGAATTGATTTATTTTGTGCCCACATTATGTGTTATATCTTTTGAATGCAAAGTCTGATGTAGTTTATACTTGTATATAAATGTAGATAAGAAAATGATATACAGCTTTTGGGGTTTGGTGTTCAAAATACATCTGCTATTGCCAGCAGAACATTTAAAAACATAAAAACGGCACGCCGGCGCGCCGGTGGGTGTTAAGAGGGGAAGGATGGAGAAAAGACTTCCACTTGTGGCTTTAAGCCTAGCGTACATCGACAGAGAAACTGGAGACAACTAGTTGCAAGGCGGCTTTTGGCAACTGAGAGGAGATGATGGGAGATGATCAGTTGCCAAAATCGGTCGATGTGCGCGCTCTTACAACTGGAGACGAACAGTCGGTCTCCAGTTTCAGTCAGTTGCCCGTGTTCTACTTTTCGGCAACTAGTTGTCCTCAGTTTCGGAGATATGACCAGATGTGCGCACTCCATGCGCCGCTCCGACAACGTGTGTGTATTGCATGTATTGCGAGCCCGCAACAGTTTATGTCAGAAAACACACTGTAGTTGAGGCCAGTTGCTGTCGATGTACGCGCTGTTATTCCCGAGACTGGTCTGGCCACTGGGAGTTGCCCGTTTTCGTCAGATTGTCGATGTGTGCGGGGCAGCAACTCATATGCGACGGATATAATCAGTTGCCAGTCCGATGTACGCTAGGCTTTAGATTTGGGATATAAGGGCTTTGACAGAGAAACAATGGCCGCACATTATTGCAATTAGCATCAGTTTAGTATTGTTAGCAATAACAGGGTAGCTCTGGTTAGAGCCATTTTTCAAGCAAAATAACTTGTGATACTTATATTCATGGGAAATGAATCAATGCAACAAAGGCTTGTTGTAAATGTAATTCAACTCTACTGAATCTATTTATTTATTTGGATCCCCATTAGTTTCCACAAGTGGTCGCTAGTCTTCCTGGGTCCACTGTACTTGATTCATAAAACACTATACCTGTTAAACAGACTCAAATTTTTCAAAATCATTAATTCATGTATGTGATTAACTTTAATAACATTTCATAATTGTACTTTCTACTCTGAACCTCACACAGCTCAGCACATACGCCCACATCGCCAAAACAAGGTGAGCCGTTTCAAAAATCCACTATGGAAAATCAGCAATGTCTTTGAACAGTCGACGAGAAGCAAACACACATTTTTCTACTTAACCCACGGAATTATCCATCTCCAGTCAGTTATTATTGGGCTGGGTGATGATTTCTGGGACGAAATGTTTTTGTGAAGGACAAATGTTCTGATTTATGTATCTTTACTAATAAGTAGAGGGACGTTTACGAGATTAAGATTAAGAGACCCTTTGTTCGTCCCACAGTGGGGAAATGTCAGATGCATCACAAGTTACAGAACAGTAAGAATGAGGAGCACACAGCACAAGATAAGTGAACAATAGTTATGCTAATTAAAATAAAATAAAAACTTTAACAATCTTTATCTTAATGATGCCTTTAAGTAGTCATGTAACTAATATTTACATTGAGGCAATACAATATTTTCTGAGGGAATGTAACTACTTTGTGCCACCAACTCAAAAACAGATGATGATAATCCTAGTGGAGCAGAAATTGTAGGAAAAAGTGCATTTTATAGTTAAAGATAGGAAATGTTAATAATGTGCAGGGGGAAAAAATTAACTATGTATTTTCAGTTCAAAAGCCACAATATGAAAAGGGAGAAACTAAATATATATGGTAAAATATATAATAAACATGTCTCCAAGATCTATTTGACCAATAGACCAATAGAGGAACGAATACATACAAATGTTATTCAGATTCAGGATACAAAGTACATTTAAAAGCATTGTAGTAGTTTTATTAAGTAAGTAATCTTTTTTTAATATAGGGCTTTTTTTACAGACCAAGGTCAACCAAAGCACTTTACAATGTTGAGTTTTGCTGCTACTGTGTTATGTTTGTATCACTGTTGAAGAGAGAGAGGACTGCACATGTGCACTTTAACTTAAATGCCTTTTACATTGAATACTCTTAAAAGAAGTTTTGCATAACCAGGTAAAAGTAGCTTTATCTTGCGCTGCTTTCCTTTCCCTTCTCTATCGCAGTCATGATCACAGCAGCTGTTTCTCAGTGCACATGCTCAGACAAAAAGGTAAATGACGCTTAAGCACCCGAAAGCCTTTGCGGTATTTCACCTTAAAACTGTTCCGTTTCTGAAAATGATACTGGTATTACTGAATATGTAAGTACTTAAATATGTGCGCAACAGTCACAGTTACTTCCATCATCTTGTGCGAACCAGATATGGCAAAACATTCCAAATGCTTTGTGGCATTCTTTCAAGCACGTTCGAGTTTTAAAGCTGGTTTTGGACGCACAGAAAGGATATATGCACATACTGCACAGAAAATCAACTTAAGACCATGCATTGAACCTTCTTCGCTCTCATTTGCTTATAACAGCGTTTACTAAAGCAATATTAATTTAATGTGTGTTAATTAAAACTAGTTTATTTTACCAATTCGCAAAGGATTAAAAACAATCTTTCAGCAGCAAGATATTGGCTTAAATAAGTACTTCTTGCTAGGCAGCTATAGGGCTACACGGCCATTTAGTGCAATATTAATGAAAAGATTACAGCATTTTCATCTGAGTGACAGTTGAGTATATGTGTACCCTCCACAACATTTTATAACCCTCTCCCTGAAAATTGTGTAATGCGTGTTTTAAAAGTATAGCCAAAGTAACAAGACTTAATTTTTTCCTTATTCTAGGTAAAATAGGGAATAGTTTAAAGGCAAATTGTAATCAAAGACAACAATCCGACAAAACTATGAGACCTTTCCATGTTTTAAAACATAAGACTAAAACAATCAATTGTTCAACAGTTCTTCCCAAACTGTGCACTTAACACATTTCATATCTCAAATTAAATCATTGTTACATTTTGCCCACAATGTGCAGCCCTGTTAATACCAACATCGTAATCTGGCTACAATTGAGATTATTCACACGTTTGTAAAGGTTTGTGGACAGTGGGGCCCTCCATAATTCCTTCAGCACTTGTGAAAACGTCTCTGACCTCTGAAACTGCTCCGGCCACATACAATGTTTGACTTAAACATCATGTCGTCTTTAGCAAAAAGGTAACAGACCACAATGAACTTACTGCAAACACAAGTCTGACCAGCTGTAAAAAATATATATATTTCAATTCAGACCCACTTTAAAACATAAAGAAAGAAAAGTACTGACTCATTGCTAGTTTTAGAGTATAGATAGAAAGTACATACACTCAAGTCAATTGGACATAAATATAATTCTGCAAAATGACTACATTAGCAAATATGGATTAGTAGTATTGTGACACTAGTGGTCAAACTGCAGCATTTCAAAACTGGAAGAATCGGCACAGAGATTGATCAGTTTGAGTACGGGTAATGTACAAAAGATTCAGTGTTTTTTTTTTTTTCACAAATAGTGAAATAAATAAGCTCTGACAATATCATAAGAAGTCTATCGTATTGATACTGTGGCATTTAACATCCGTGTGTATCCAAACCGCTTTATTAATATAGCACATAAAATCAAGACATTTCCAAAGTGCTGCACACAAGACCACAAAAACATTAAAACTAAAACAATACAAATTAGCTACAATAATAATAATAATACTAATAATGATAATAGCGGTAATTGTCTCATGCTTATTCCTTCAGTGGATCATCTGCCACCCAAGCTCTCGTAAGCTCATGTTTGGAGAAGCGTTTTCCCTCAATGGTTTGAACATGACCTCATCAGTGTGAAGACGGGGGAAGCTGTCTGTGGTTAAGCAGAACCGTGCAGTGGCTGTTCTTGGCAACAAAAAATTGGATGTCGAGTTTCCACAAAAAGGGCACCTCAGTCGAATATGAAAAGACAATTATGCCAGAGCTCTGGATAACGCATTATGAACCAAATCCTCGTGACAGTCCCGTCATTCGACCAAAGGCATCCTGCACACACCAATTTATAGGTCGTCACAAATGGGCAATTACATGTGCTCATGCGTCTTAAATACACGCAAGCTTTAGTTTAGTCTAGGGCGTCAACAGAACATTTCGCAATCACTGGCAACAGAATTACAGCTGCAATATTCACATTAGTGAGAGCAACTAGAAATACAACACAAAGCACTCGGTTCTTTCATGAAACGCCGAGATAGAAACTAAATCCATCGGTTACTCGATGACAAAACTGGATGTTCCGCAGCAGCAGGAGAAGAAAACTGTGAGCTAATATATTTGTTTGAGTGTAAGTGACTAAGAGCCAAAAAGCCAGAAGCAGCCCCATGCTTTCCTACAGGCTGGGCCACAGAGGAAGAAATGATCAGGTCAAAATTACGCATTGGAAATGGACTGTTGCAGACATCCAAATATACAATGATAATTACTTATTCATGCTCAACGATTGAGCAACTAATTTGGCAGAGTGAAAGAAAAGAAATCCTTTATTTTTGAGGATAAAAATGCTCCAATATGTAACTATACATGTACGGTTTAATGTTTTAATACCTGAAAGATAAACTCCTGACTTGTATTCCGAAATAAAAATTTAGAATAGCTGCATGTGCTAAATACCAGATATTTAACACAATTCGCATATTTTGACATTACTTCATTTCAGAAAATCAGCGTCATCGGCACTAAGTTTTAATTTTCCATTTGATAATTTCCAGTCAACCACCACATGCTGATTAATATATTGTCAATATATTCATGTTTTCCCCTATATTTTCCATTATGCAGATAATTTTACATCATTTTAGATAATTGTGGCTTGAAAAATGATATTTACTGATTGAATAGTTCCATGAACCATGCACTGAAACCATAGATTTGTGAACAGTAAAACAAAAAAATAGCATTTTCTCACAGAACTAGTCTATTAACCTCTTAACAACCGCCTCATTTTGGCTCGTGCACAATGGTTGGGCATACCCAAATGTCTTTGCTTATTTAAAAACACATCTTACATCTCACATGCTTGTGTGATGCATCATTTTAAAGCTAGAGCCTTCTAGTTTATGTAAAAAAACACTAAAATAATGTTTGTCATTCCTATTTTCCTCTGCATCCTTTGAAGTTAGGGAAAAAAACCCAATTTTTTTAGCCTCGCCTAACATTTTCAATTTCTAAAGGCCCTAAAAAAGGCATACTTCATTGTAAGTTCACAATATTCAAACCCTCTGTTCATTGTGTTGTTGACAACAACTGTCTAAAGTTTCAGACTTGTAAGTTTTATAGTTTTTATGCAGTTTCTCCTTTTCATCAAGTAGTGCACATTTGGCACAATTTGGCACAAGTGTGCCAAATTGTGCCAAATATCTTTACTTACATTTAATCATCATAAAAACAATATTTTTCATTATTGGTACTTATAAGTTACTAATCTATGTATGTTTTTCTTTTTTAAATGTCAAAGTTATTTTTTTATGAGTGTAAATTCATTGCAGCTTCGAGAGCGTCTTTTGGCTGCCATTACGCACAATTGTCCAGGCCCAACATAAGACAGGACACCATTGTTCCACCCCTTGTTCGAAAGCTTTCCTCATTGGCTACACGGACATGTCAATCGTAAATCCCGGAAGTAAAAGCAAACAAGTTGGGAGCACAACAAAGATCAGTCCTCCATGCGCAAACAGCAGCACGAGCGGTACTTGCGGGAGCTATTGCAGACCCAAAAATTGGTCTAGCTTTTCGGGAGTAGTCTCATTTGAAAGATAAGGAGCTAAGGAACACGTAGATACCAGATGTTTGGGTGAAAAACAAAGCTAAAAGTCCGTTAAAAGTGAAAGAGTAACATCTGTGCTCTTTTTTTTCGTTTTTTTCGCTAAAGATAAATGCACATTTTTGGATTATTTCTGCAGAATGGATTTTACTTTGGGAAATACAAGTGGATATAATTTTCCTTTGGACTGTTCCAGAGAGAATGATGTATTGCAAGCTGGGAGGAGAGCTGATTTATTTGTACAGCACAAGCCCAAAGGTAAAAAACTATTTCGGAATTGATTTATTTTGTGCCCACATTATGTGTTATATCTTTTGAATGCAAAGTCTGATGTAGTTTACACTTGTATATAAATGTAGATAAGAAAATAAGCTTTAAAATGATATACAGCTTTTGGAGTTTGGTGTTCAAAATACATCTGCTATTGCCAGCAGAACATTTAAAAACATAAAAACGGCCGCCGGCGCGCCGGTTGTTGCAAAGTGGTTAAAGGTTTTTATAGCCTGTTGAGAGTCATTGAGGATCAGAAATTGACTACATTTGTGACGAGTATAGGAGAAAGGGTTCTCCTGGCTGGTCTGAAGGCTCCTCACACACAGTGGACCATGACATGTGATGGTAATGTCCATTAAAAAGGAATCAGATAACGCAAAACACAAAGAAAAGCACCAATGAAAAAAATGTCAAAAGATTTTTATCTTTGTATTTAACCACATTTTTCTTTTTTGTTTAAATGGTTCAAAACGTTAACCTCAAATTTCTCCACAAAATGAAAATCAACAGATTCCGCTTCATGTGTGTACAAGTACAAACATGGAGGGGCACAGGGGGCATTTCAGCTGATGCGGCATCTATGAGAGTTTATAAAGGCTGATATTTTCACTGCACCGTCACAATACAACAGCAGCTGATGCACATTGAAAAAACACGGGAGCGTAAATCATGAAGCCACAGACTGCCTCTCCAGCTGCTCCTTCCAACTCATTATAAACCAAAAAATTCAACATGTGTCAAGGATTCTATTAAGAAAATAATTTCAAAAATAGCACGAAAAAAAAAAAAGACTTTACTTTAAAAGAAAAAAGTCAGTCAACAGCGATTTAACATCTAAATAACAAAGTAATTATTAAATTAAGACATTCAAATGCATATATGTATATACTTTTCAGTTTGTTTGTTGTTCTTGTTGAATGTGGATGTGTCTGTTTTGTTGTCTTTAATAAAAGAAAAGAAAAAATATTGCACACGCCAATATCGCGAAAACAATATTTTGTTGATATATTGTGCAGCCATAGAGGACAGCCTCTCAAAACAGCAAACATTTCTTCGTGAAAAATGCGAAAGCCCCTTATCCCATCAGGCCACCGTAGGGTAGATCATTACGGTCTCGTGTCTAAAGAGACCCAACCATGGATGTATTATATTAACTGGATAGGGTATTACTAGCTTGTAGCTGAATAACTCACGTGCTCAGGGGATTCTCGCGGTACTGCAGACAGAACCAGACTAAATTCACGTGGGCTACCCAGAATTTTTCCCCATAGAACTCAATGCATATTAAAACAGCTCGACCTCAGCTGACAGAGAACCTACAGCTTTAATAAAGATCAGATTTTGTGGGGATTTTAGTGTCCCTTGTCATCCTGAATTTTTTTTCTTCTTAAATCCTTCGGTTTTGTTTAAATCCACACTTTAGTGCCACAAACTCTGCTCCTCTGGCTCTCGCTCTAACTCCCGCTCTGATGAACTGCTCTGATTGGTCAGAGCGCGGCCGAGCCCCTCTGTGCACGTGCGTGAGACCCGGTGTGAGACCCACACACGCGTGTTTGGCGCAACGCATTATGGGAGATCATCCACTGCGCAGAACCGGGAGGACCAGACGATGCCCAAATACAGGCGAGTTTCCCATAGATCTTTGCGAGTTTCAGGCAACTTCCGCTAATCTTTCAGCCCCCATGCTGTCACAAAGCGCCACTGAGCACAACAATTCATTTGAATAGGGCGCCATCTTGGATCGCCGGGGCTTGGACCCAACTCACTCCCCAAAGAGATGTAGCTCAGATGACTGTCTTCACCAATAAGACCACAAAATAAATCTCGACATGAGATATGGATGCAAGACATGAGCAAAACAGAGTAAAGGTAAAACATAGTAAAGCAGTGATGGAAACCTTCTGGACCTTGAATGAGAAGAACATTCGGGCAATAGTCCCTGGTCTGTTTGAGGCTCTGGCCAGAGGACAGGAAGCAGAAACACCTGCATAAGTGGGAGGACGTTTGTAAAACTGTGTTCAAGTCACACTGAGGTCCTGTTGTTCTGGTGCCAGCGTCCGGATGCTCCCTCTGCCCACTGCACTTTTTCATTGGCCCTAAAGCCCAGGTGCCAGCTGCCGCCTCATCACCACTGACAGCTCCACAGTCACACAGTGTCTGTGCAAAACAGCACTTTGCCTTTACGTCAAAGTTACACCAGTCCAAGAACATAAAACAAGCCTCTACAGAAGTACAATCACTGTACATTTTTACCATAAAACAGACTCGAGATGGACAGGTTTATTGTACCTGCTATTAACACACAGTGAACAAGGCAGACAGTGTCCACATGCTTTAAACCTGAATAACAGTACCAAATGACCAATTCTGTACCATAACTGGATTAAATTCCTGTAATGTACAACACAAATACGGTGTATGCCATAGTAAAAACACAAAGATTGCTGTAATTCTAACAAACAACAAATCCAATTTCATGACTGAGCGTATTGAAAGATAGTTGAGGCAAATCCAAGTGCACAACAACAGAAATGCAACAAAACAAAATAGTTTCTGAATAAACCCTACACGTTTATGAATCATATAGAGCCATGCTGAAGGAACAACAGGACTTACTTGGTGCAGTCATTGAAGAGCTCCTTGCACGGACTCTGCTCCAGTCTCTCCCGACAAGCAGCCACCAGGTCCTGCGGTATGTCGGGCAGATGGGCCGCTGACTACACAGGTAGAACCAAACAAATATCATGAGACATAGTTACAATCAGTCTGCAGTACTTTCTGGACAAAAAAGCACACCTGAATAGAAACCGCACCAGCTACATTTTAAAATAAAGTACATTGTTGTCCACATTTTTGACTGCAGGAGAATCAAAAAAAGCTGGAGAATAAGCTAGGTATTCATGTTGTAATGTAATACTTTACCAACAGCTGATAGAGCAAAACAAAGCTGAACTGTTTTATCTGGACACAACATGATTTAATGCACTGTTGACTTGACGTGATGATCAAAGCACTATTTTGACAATAAACACAAGTGTCATTCCAACCAAAACTCAGGTATCAAAATAATGAGTCCATAAACTCTGTTTTGACAATAGTCCTAATTAAATAAAAATGTTCCCTGCATTTCCCTGCACTTCCATATGTATCTTTGCTGTTCACATAAACACCCTGAAGAAGGAATGTGTGCTATGCCATGTCATTTTATCAGCTCTGGAGATCAACCACTGACAAAGCTGTATCCAAAACCATTCAGGAAAATATCTACATTAGCTGCAAAGAAATTGAAAAAACTAGCGGAATTTGAATCCAGCAAGTACACTAGCACTTTAAGAGAACATTATTTTAATATTCACTTTTAGAGAGATTTCTGACAAGATATCTGACACAAACAGCTGAAATTTTTAAACTCAGCAGCAGTTAGTATGGGGAGAAGAGAGTTTGCTTTAGGTCAAAAGGTCTCTTTATGAGGTCTCAGGACAAAAGGTGGTCAAGCTTTTTCAGTCCAAACTTCTCGACCTTGGAACGACCTGCCTGAAAAGATAGGAATTTTGTCCTGTTTAAGTTCATTTTGACTGAAATAAACTAAACCCTTGAGTGCTGTTGTGCAGTAGATTAAGAGTTTGTGTTTAGTCAAGGTGCATCCTTGTTTTGACCTAATAATTTGACTATAACTCAAAAAATATGTCCGGTAACATTATAACAATTGGTGGACCTTGAGATATAGATATATATGATCAGATAATCTGTCGACTACTAAGAATAAGTAGGGCCCGCTTTCAAAAACCTCAACATTCTCCACAGCTGTGAGCAGGCGATGGCTGAAGTACTGGAAAGACTGATAGAATGAGCAATTCCCTTCAACATAATATTGCATGTGTTAATGCAGCTTTAAGTCGCACGCTTCTTACCCCATTATTAAAGTATGTGTCTAAAACATTCAGTCCGTAGTCCCTCCTCTTCTCATCAGGGGCTAGTTGGTATATGGCCTAGAAGGAAACAGAAGAGACTATATGAAAACAAATCAAAGAGCAGAAAATAACATCGGTAATATGAAGGAAGATGATAACTTCTACGTTATCAAGAACATATTTGCAGTAGTCAAAAGAATAGCTTTTATCTGATAAAAAGTTACTTTGTTAGAGAAAGGCAATGTTTCAAAAGTTGGCAATTCCTGGCTCCCTTTTCTTTAAGATGTATGATATTTTCAGAAGAGTCGACGAGTGCAAGTAAAAGCTAAGGCTTGTCAGTCATTGGATCTTGTACCCCCTCCTGGCTTGTCTGCTTACCTTGAGAAAGACTAATGTTGCTATGTTCTCATTAAATAAGCATGATCCCCCTGTTTTCCTTTCCCGCATACCTCCAGGGGCCTAGGCACAAGCCTGGGCCTGTGTTTGCCTGCTCACCCAGGGGACCAGCCTCTGACGTGGGCTTGACCTCATGGAGACGCAGGGGAGGGGTCCAGTCTTTGACAGCTTGTCTAAGTTTCTAATCACCCCCAACAGTCACTCCACCCACTGCCCAGAGCCAGCGCCAAGACCAGGCGCGAGTCCCAACTAAACAACAGTTTAAATGTGCCGGACAGGGTTTTAAGAATAGCTAGGAACAAAGAAGTGTGCACCTTTAATGTACTAAGTTAAAAAAGAAATCAAAAGTTTTTAATACCACATTACAATCAAATTACATAGCAATATAATTTTCTAAATGTACATATTATACATGCAAATACTTTTCCCTATCGATCTGCTACATCAATCAGTGCTCTGCTATTCTCCCCCAATCCTCAACATGGAAACAATGTAAATTCAAATCAATTGTATATACAGCAATACAATTAGACTGACTGAATATTAGCAACGTTAGCACCCCTTAGCATATCGGCACATATCTATGAGAGGCTGAAGAGCAGGATCAGACAGCGGGTGAACTGTAGAGAGCCCAACTGTCAGCTTTAAACTTTCCTTTGCCATGCTGAATTTTCTATCTCTGGCCTAAACAATATGTCTGAGTTTCAAAATCCAAAAGTATAATTAGTAGGTAGTTTTATTTCAAATATACAAGCTGAAACTCAACGCACCATTGTTCTAACTGTACATTTTCAAAAATATAAGATATTGTGGATCTCTAAATGTTTGGCTTGTCTTTGGGTCCAAAAAAGACACTATGGGAGTGTCCAGACATCAGAGAGACAGGTCCCAGAGAGAAGTGGTTTTTTGGTTGTAAATCTTTGAATCAGCACCAGAAAAAAATCTAGTGAGAATGTAATACAAACTGCTGATGCATAAGAAGTTAAATGATCATTTGTAAACATACACAGAACAAAGAGTAAATTTTGGAGTGGTTGGATGAAACTAAAGTTTCGCCATAATGAAAAGAAAGCAAGGACACTACCCACTAGCTAAAGCCAAATTTAAGGACACAGGACATAAAACTGATTGATCATTTGATAGGACTTAAAATAAATATCACTATAGGATCATTGAGAACATTCAACCCCAGATTTTAAGACCCAAATGGAGAATAAACAAAATTGAAAAGTAGTTTACATTTCAACTATTTTCAATGTGAGACAATAGGAGCCAGAGAGAGTTGGGGCTAACTTTGGCCATGAGCACGTCTCTTACAGGTTTCATTGAGCTTGCAGGTTAGCATTGTGTTACTTGTATGAAGTATAAGGCTTAAACATGTAAACCTGTGCTTTTAAATAATAAACTAAAAAACAAAGCTTGTATTTTTTTAGAAGTAAGTTGCAGGTCATTTGTTTACAAAACAATGCGAGACACGCTACAACCAATATCACGGGTTACGTGAAATTAGCAAATGTGAATGTCCTTACCACAGCATCCATGAACTCAATGCAGCGTTTGAGCTCAGGCCTTGTGTCACAGTAGTGACGAAACAACAGCCGACCAATGGGCTGCTTCTCACATAAACTGGTGTAGTCCCTCTCTGAAAGACACAGATACAGAAGAGACATTAGTACACTGCTGGTAAAATGTATCAGACAAGTTAATGATAATACTCAATTTTACAGCTGCAGTGTTGGTTTAATGTACCTGAGTTGAGGTAAAAAGTGATTGATCTGGTATTAAACAAAAATTCATGTCATGTTTAATACAATAAAGATATTTATTTCAGAACATAAAGAACACAAACTCACGGAAACCAATTCAAATACAGTTGCATACATGTTTTGAACATGTGTTGGATGAAGCAGACGCTTCGACCCCTCACACCTCACCCATTCAGATAAGATTCAGATTCATTTATTTGCCATTTGCAGTAAAACCACATTGGAAAACTGTGCAAGACTACCCCGGTGTGCACCAGACAGAGAAGACGACACACACCAGAGCTCTTGCCACGGCGCCATTCAACACAGAAAGGACAATATGGCAATAATAAAACAGTAGAAAAGTAACAGGTAACTGACCGAACAGCCCTCCCCGACTCCCACTACTTGCTCAAACCAAATACTTCTTCCGTACTTTATAATAATAATTTGTTACAAAGAGTAGCAGAGAGTAGTGTAGTAACTTTGGATTTTATATTGTAAGTGAAAACTCCCAATCAGACTTACTCCCAAAACAAAGCATGTGTTTGGTTATCAACCTACTGTACATCGCCCTCTGTGTCGAGCTCATAACACTCGTTATATAACATTTATAACATTGACTGACACCCATTAATAAACAATTATTCAATATTGTCCAACAATGTGTGACTAGTCAATATAATTCAATAGCATGTTGAATTATCTATATACTGTGCCGTGGAAATGTGGATCTTTTGATTATGAATCTCCATATTGGAATCCCCAGACCCAAGGGCAAATCATGATAGATAAATTTTTTAATGTGGATTTATTCTTAGTTATGAAAACAATTGATATGGTGGTGAAGCTAAGGATAAGTTGTTATTTATTTTATACTTTTTTGTGCAGCACTTTGGAAACGTAACTGTTGTTTAAATGTGCTATATAAATAAAGTGGATTGGATTGGATTGGATTGACATGAAGGCCAAGTTATTCATGGTAGCATTTTATATTTTGATTCTCGAGCAGAGTAGCAGAGTATCTTGTTGGACAGTTAGTGTCCAACAGAAAGGATTGGTGATGATCAGGACACTTTAGCATTCTACAACATGTATGGACATTTTCTTCTGAGTGTGCTTTATATTTTTCATGTGTTTTAACTGTTGATTCTCTGATCTGTGTTGGTGATTTCAATGGTTTTTTTAAGTCCTCTGAGATGAATTCTGTTGTGACCTAGGGCTATACAAGAATAAATTGTATTGTATTGTATAGTATCCTACCAGAGCCAGAATTAGCAGCACTTTGGTGAAATTCAGCTAGTTTGGTCACACCTTTTTTATTTATTCCATTTATTTATTTAACCTTTATTTAACCAGGGAAATACCCATTGAGATTTCTTTTTCAAGGGAGTCCTGGCCAAGAGGTCTGTAGCACACGTCACAGGCACTTTACAGAACAATAAAACAATACAATAATAATAAAAAATGCAAACAGTGAAACTACAAAACATTTACATGATCCAAAAAAAAAACTAAAGGCCACAATAACCTAGCCCTTTGCAGCTGACCCACATCAGAAGAATCAGTTCTGAAGAAATGCAGTATAATTAAAACCACAAAAGATGTTTATGTTCGCATTGACATAATTGTCAACTGCTACATTTGTTTGCTTACGACAGCCTGTACGGCACTCCATTAGCCATTCTCTGAGTGCCTTTTTTGCAGCTGGCCCCAGTCTATTAGGACTAATGGCGTCCATTTGAGTCATATTTCCTTTGGTACCAAATGAGGAAGATGACCCAGGACGTTTTCCATCAAAGATTGACAGCAAAGCTACACAACACACTCTCACAACATACACACACACACACACACACACACACACACACGGACGCACTTACGCAGGCCACACACAAGCAGGAAGAGGCAGAGGGACAGGGTGGTGACAGCTCCAGGATGGCCTCTGATCTAAATCAAATCTACATAACAGCCCCCCCCCCCCCCCCCCCATGTTGCACTGTCTGTGCTGCGTTTTAATTACAACTAACTTTCTATTTTACTGTATGAATACAAATCTGTGAATGACATGTGTGTAAAGGTTAAAAAATGTGTCTTCTTTAATTTCCTCCTGCAGTGAGTCAGCCTGTCCGCAGAGAATGCAGGGAGCTTGATTAAAAAGTCATAATTATGTTGGGTCATGAGAGTTTGAGGTAATTAAAAGAAAGGTTTGAGATTATATACAGTACAGACCAATAGTTTGGACACACCTCATTCAAAGAGTTTTCTATTTTCGTAATTATGGAATTTGTAGATGATTAGCACTGATAGATGATTGTAGATGTAGAGATGATTAGCACTTGTTGGCCCTTTCGCCTTCACTCTGTGGCCCAGCTCACCCTAAAACCGTCTCGATGGGGTTCAGGTCCGGTGACTGTGGAGGCCGGGTCATCTGGACCAGCACCCATCACTCTCCTTATTGGTCAAATAGCCCTTACATAGCCTGGGTGTGAATCTACAGTCAATAGTCATGAAAAGAAAGGAAACACATTGAATGAGAAAGTGTGTCCATACTTTTGAATCGCTATATAAACATTTAAACAGCAAAGCCGTTTATTCTGAAAACGTTTTACTGCAACTAGAATGTTGCTTGTCACCTGCATCCCCAACACAGTCAACAATCATGTAAGGCCTAAAAATACATCTTTTATAAGATTCTTTCTGACACAAGAAAATAAAAATTTAGTTTGGAATAGATAAACTATATTATTGGGCATGTTTTTTTATGACTATAAAATGATAGCTGGCCCATTGTGTGGTGACCGAGTTCCCTCCCTATTTGTGAATAGATTTATTTATCTAGAATTAGCATCATCTGTATGTGTGAATGTCTGCAGACTCTGCAATATGTAGTCAATTCTATTAATTTATTATGGAACGTGGCCATGCGTGTGGTGACTTGACACGCTTTTGAGTCGAAGGTTTAGCACGGAAAAGTATGAAGTGTCTTAAATTGTCAGTGTGCTTAACTTATCAAACATTAACTAGTATTTTTTGTAGCAGGCCTACCACTTTGTTCTTGACAAACAAGTTCAGAATTATATCCACAATATGAACAGATACCAGTGATGAGCAACAAAGCTTTTAAGATTCATAAAGAATAGATAATGATTCAACACCGAGGCTGGGCAACATGGACACAAAAATTATAAAAATAGCAATTATCCCACAATAACAATATAAGTAGAGATGTAAATAGCGCTGGAAAGAATGCTTCAAAACTGTAAAACTTTTTTCTTTTTTTTTTTTAAATAGTTTGTAATAAATCTGTCAACACTCTCAAAAACTGTTATCACTATTTTTCACATGCAAGTACTTTTGGACAGTCACATTTTTAGATTTTCAAACATTTTAGCTTTTTAGACAAAAAAGTGAAACGTAGAGGACCACCCTCACTCAGCTCTCACTATGTACAGCATGCTATGGTCTGATTTGTTCACAAAATATTCATTTTGGGAAGAATAAATATATGAATCGAAGTTACAAGTACACAAACTTTAATGCAGCAGCTGTCATGCACATCACACACTGCTCCACGGACAGGTGCTTGCATGCTGCTGGTATTTTGGCCCATTCCTTTATGGCTAGAAGAGATCTGCATGGAGGAATGGGCCAAAATACGAGCAACAGTGTGAAAACTTGTGAAGACTTACAGAAAAGGTTTTTAAGGTGCACTTTATTTATCCCCGTAGGGCTATTCATCTTCTGCATTTGACCCATCCTGAGGCCACTAACGCTTACGTCAGGAGCAGTGCAGGTCGCCGTAGAACAGCGCCCGGGAACCCATCTCCAGATGTTGATGCTCGGCTTGGTCAGGACTACCAGAGCTGGAGGGTTTTTAAATATTCGGCATGTTTTTAACACCCAGTGGAAACCAGAGCACCTGGCGGAAACCTACTCAGACACAAGGAAAACATGCAAATTCCACTTAAAAAGACCCTGTTCCGACTGTGATTCAAACCCAGGATCTTCTTGCTGAGAATCGAGAGTGCTAACCACTCAGCCACCGTGCCGCCTGTTAAGGTTAGACCTCTGTCAAACGTCTGTCTAAATATTTATTTTCATATTTGCATAATTTGTAAATACATTATTTTAAAATCAATCAACAAAACAACATTTAAAAAAAAAAAAAGTCCCTCGTAGTAGAGGTATACATTTGATGAAAATCAGAGGCATATCTCATCTTTTGTGTGGGAGGACTCGCACAATTGGTGGATGACTAAATACTGTCAGTAAGCTACACTGACAACACTGCTGGTGAGGAAGTGAACGTTTGTCATCAAGCCAACTTCAGCTCCATCAAACATGAGTCAATATGGCAAGGCAAGATTATTTGTATAACACATTTTATACACAGGGCAACTGAAAGTGCTGTACAAAATAAGAGGAAACATAAAATGATATATAAACAAAAATAATAAAATAAGATTGGACATGTGATTTCATACAAACGTCAAACGTTCAAAAGCTCAGAACAGCCAGAATCCAGGAAGACGGAATTACAATATGGTTGTATTGTACATTATTAAATGTTTTTGTTTAAGTCTACTGAAGTTCAATAAAAAACGAATAAATTAAAAGCTGGGATACCAAACTTTTCCCTGCCATTAATAATGCATGTTGGTTGTCCCGAAGTTTTTGCCTAAAAGTAAAATGTTGTGAACAAATAGAACCACAACAGGACTGTCTTCAGCGCATTACATTTTGTAAACATTGCATATTAAGAAAGAGCCCTGTGAGTCACTATTTGACTGAATCTTTCACTGCCAAACAGGAGCAAGAGAGAGGTGAAAAAAGTTGTGCATGGTAAGTGTTTGCGTTCGAGGGGTGTAGGGTCCTTGATAAAGCAATTTGTGAAATGTGTCCTGTTTTGCTGGAAATGTGATCAATCCATTTCCCAGACACAGAAAAAAAAAATCACTTGATCATGATCGACACCCAATTGATCAGAGCATCTCTAAATCTCTATCTCTGAAAAGTATTCGGTGTCAGTCTAGTCAAGGCTAAGGTCAAATGTTTGACATTATCAAGACACAACAAAGACAGTGCTATCAGCAGTACTCTGAGCCTACATGTGTGTGGACACGCACACCATCACATGTTTAAGGGCACACCGGGGATTATTTTGATCCAGTGCTCAGTGTGATAGAGAAATTATGCAATACCCTTGATGTCATAGTGACGTATGCAACCCACAACAGCTGCTGCATGCTTACACTTGCATCAACATACAGTATGGCTCTATAGTTCAGAGACATATGCAAAGTGAAATCTCTGGTTTTAGAAAGTACAAAACTACAAAAGGAGTAGATTATATAGGTTTCACTAATGCAGTGTCCGTTCTGATAAAAGTGTAGCAGGCACATGACGTGTTCATAATCAACCGTTGATACATTGTGTATTCAGCCTTAGAACTCGGCCATTCTCTGCCACTTTCTCCTGATTAGAGCAGATCCTCCTCTCACTGTACAAACCTCGGTGTTTTCTCTGGCTCGGCTGCTGCTCTGAAGTGAAGCAGGAGGAGAGATATGAGAGTGAAGGGGAGTGTGTGGGGGAGGGGAGCGCTGCAATCTCTGGCAGAGATAGCTGTGACGCACTGTTGCACACAAACCCATCCACACACTGTGGCATTCAGAAAAGCAGAGCTGCAGAGCCAGCATACGACAAGGAGGGACCAGGGAGAATCACAACCATTCAGGAATTGACGAGAGACCACTTGACTTGTAACCCATTTTGAACAAAAATGGGTTACCAAGGACAACATTTAAGGGTATGGTATTAAAGTTTGTGTAGAAAAAAATAATAAATATGGTTCGAAGCAATTGACGGAATCATATATTGGGTAGAATCATTTTGATAATACATGTATGCACCCTCGCCACAAAAATCACAAACATCATACCGTGAAATATGAATATTAAATTCTTGTCACTGCAGATAATAGTAATACTAAATATCAAGGAACGAAATAAAAGGAACTTCTTAAAATATAATATTGATAGGCCATCCCTGACACATAGACTCGCAGCACTTCCTGTCCACTGCCTGTAACAGCGGGTGGGACGGGTAAGAAGAGGAAGGAAGTCCAATCTCCACTTCCTACAGCAGAGACCCACCCCAACTGCAGCAGGGCACCTCCGGGCCTCAACCATTTGGGCACTGTCCTTGTGAACTTAGTAAAGTGAATCAAGAATCAATGAGAATGGAAAAGGGGAAGAAAAAGGGGTTGTCAGGTGTTAACCAAAGTTTGATACAAAAAAATACAGTCAATGTGGCAAATCTTAAAGGTTTTTTGTTCTTTGAACAGCAATAAACAACATTGGTAGCCTCTATACATTCCCATGCCCAATGAGAGAATAAAAGGGAGGGTTCTTTCCCTCGATCAGTTTAGAGGGGTCACCGGTGTCAATCATAATATATCATTTCCAGGGAACATATTTATATTTATAATGTGGTTTTCATTTACACACATAAAACTCACAGGAGAGCAATAGAAGTGCAAGCAGGATTCGCAATTTCAGTACAAGCAGCAAGTGAAAAGAGAAACGACGAAATCCGAGTTCTTACCAATAGTGCGGCGTAGCTCCTCACACTGACTGATGTGAGGAAGTTTTAGCATCTCTTTCCACTTCTTACTCCGGCCATTTCTCTTCCCTCCGCCACCTGAAAAGGAAGAACAGGTTTAGATGATCATGTCATTAACTTGTACATTCTTCACATCGCCAGTAGCAGACACAGGTCAAGATGCAAAACAACAACTGAGAGCGTCATAGCCAAGAATCACACCCTCAATTATGTAGCAAGGTCTAAGTGTTTAATGTTTCAAGTATTTTGTTGGGATACCCTTGAAGTCATTGTTTTTACCCATCCATCCATTTTCTACCCTTTAATCCATTTCTGGGTCAGGGGGTGGCAGTCAGAGATGCCACCCAAGTCTCATAGCACCAGCCCCTCACTGACCCTCTGCAGGTGGTGAGTCCACAGGAGGACGGCTGCTCTCTGAGTGTGAGCATAGCCTTGATCTTTCAGCTGGGGCTTTGGGCAAAGTGGGGTTAAGTGTCTTGCCCAAGGACACAACGACAGCAGTCATCAGTGGGAGTCGGTGGAGAAGGTGCAGAGGTGGGAATTGAACCCACGACCTTCTGGGCTTAAGGCCAATGCTCTACCAACTGAGCTACTGTCGTTTTTACCCACGTCATTTCAAATTTTAATAATGCATCAGTTTTATATAGTGCTTTTTTTGGACACTCAAAGACACTTTACATGTCATTATTCATTCACTCCATACACGGCGGTGATAAACTACTACTGGGACACATTGACAGAAGCCAGGCAACCAGTATGTGCCATAGGCCCACCACCACACACACCAGACTCATTCTAGGCAATGGGGGTGAAGTGTCTTGCCTAAGCACATAACGGCAGTTTGGGAACAGTGGGGCGGCTGTAAAGTGCCAGAGGTTAAGTGTCTTGCCAAGGACACAACGACAGCAGACATCAGTGGGAGTCTGTCCGATGGTGGGCTCGAACCCACGACCTTCAGGCTGAAAGGCCGATGCTCTACCAAATGAGCTACTGTCTCCTTATGCCACCAGAAAGATTTTACATAGAAGGAATAGAAGTATTTCAAAAGATTTCAAAATATAGAATATTACAGACATACAAAACTATAGATGTCCTGAACAAGCCTCGTTGCTGGGTTACAAGCTAGAATCATGGCCATGATCCATTGTGGGGCTCAAAGTTATGGCCCATAGGCATGTGAGCATTTTCTGCTGCAGATGGTTGTTTGGCTGTTTTGTGCAATGCTCAATAGGAGAAAGCCATAACAGATAACCCATCAACCCTAAGGGCATATTCCAATTAGGGATGATAATGCATTATCTTCTTATCATTATTTTTTTGTGAATTGTTTTGCACAAGTTTCATTTGGCGCACAAATAAGACAACTGATTGTTAAATGATTTAAAGTCCTGAAATTGTGTTCTTTAAGTATGTAAAATCCGTACTTTTAAAAAAATTTGATTTGCAACTCATCCTTAAGGTTGAATAATGGTTTAAATGTAGTTTCTAGAGGTGAACAGGTATATCAGGAATTTGTTATCACTGATCACATTGACTTAGCGCTCTTAAATATTTAGACAAGGATGCATTATGGTTATGTAATTGTGTTTGCATGATCGGCCCGATCATGATCCTGGCCGATTGATCAAAGCACCTCTAGTAATTTCCCTTTTGGAGTATACATAATGCAAGTGTAATACGTCTTTGAGACCGCCTGAAAAGAGTATACTTAATACTGCTTAATTTGCACCTTAGCAAATTAACATACTGTTCTAGGGCTTTCCCAGTACACAGCAGTGCATTGGAGCCAAGCAATCATCCGTGACCTGAACATGAGGGGTGAAGCTGCTCCGGGCTACCCCTCTTCAGAGCACAGAGGTCACACCGTATATTACACTGCAGGCCTCATACCAACAGCATAGGGGGGTATAGGAGTGAGACGAGGTATTTGGTCCTTCAGGCCGAGGGAACCGAGTCAAACATGTTGATTAATAAACTGTGCTTCAGCCCACAGGCGAGAAGTCCCCGCCATGTCATATAGAGATGTGCTTGGAGGCATGTGAGAGATTTGACAATGATGAATGAAGTGCAAGGGAAAGCTGTGACAGAAGCTATAAACTCATTGAAAAGAACAGCATAAAATAGAGCAGACAGTAGTGTGTAATGCCTAGCGTACATCGGACTGGCAACTGATTATATCCGTCGCATACGAGTTGCTGCCCCGCACACATTGACAATCTGACGAAAACGGGCAACTCCCAGTCTCGGGAGACCAGTCTCGGGAATGACAGCGCTTACAGCAACTGGCCTCAACTACTGTGTGTTTTCTGACATAAACTGTTGCGGGCTCGCAGTACACGCAATACACACACGTTGTCGGAGCGGCGCATGGAGCGCGCACATCGGGTCATATCTCCGAAACTGAGGACAATTAGTTGCCGAAAAGTAGAACACGGGCAACTGACTGAAACTGGAGACCGACTGTTTACCTCCAGTTGTAAGAGCGCGCACATCGACCATCGGCCAAAAGCCGCCTTGCAACTAGTCGATGTACGCTAGGCTTAAAAGGGCTGCAAAATGTATCAATAATGTCAATGCAATATTGGTACATGTGATATTCATATCAAAAACATGCAGGATAATTTTGACAGATTTAAGTATACTTTTCTTGTATGCGCACTGTGACGAATCAGCTGTGACAAATCGGCGACCTAGTGCCGCCACACGATAGAGTGGAGCACACGGAAAAACAAAACAAGCATGGCGGATGATGAAGAGACAAATGCAGAGAGGAACTTGTTCCCAAAAGACATTTATGCCTCCTAAATTTGGGACTACTTCGGAATTACAAGACAGGACCAATCACAGAAACAAGTCATTTGCAAGTAATCCCGAAAATAGTCGTTACGTCGAAGAGAAACACAATCTCCAGAACCACCTCCAGCACAACCAAAAGGTACTATTTGCTGTGTATTTGCAACCTCAAACTCCATATCCTGCTCCAGTCAAACGAAAGGCAAATGCGCAAACAAGCATTAATGACAGTTTCGCTTCTGTAGCTCCTTATGAGAAAACTTTGAAGCGACACAAAGCTTTAACTGCAGCCATTACGCGATATATTGCAAAGTGTACACTCTTCGTTAATATTGTGTGTATGGAATTGGCAACTTTAGGCAAGATTTTTCTCTTGCGGTTCAATGCAGACTGCATTTTTAGGTGAAAGACAAAAATGTTGCAATAATATCAATATCGGAATACTGAACACCCGTATGGAATATCTCTCTAATTTCCAATATTGTGCAGTCAGAGTGTGTATGTTAACAACACTCATCATTGACTAGATTACTTGGTGCAAGTCATTTAGTTAAAATCTTTAAGACTTTGGTCAGGCCTTTCATTAATTGAATTGGATCATGTTTAACGAAAAGCACATGAGTAAGCTGTACACAAGTATCTGTAGTTACTTACGGAGAGGTTGTATAAGTCGCTCCATTCATTTCTCAAGTACAGTGGTTTGAAAAATACTAAACTTTTGCACTTTGTCTCATGTTACGACTAAAAACAAACTGAAGTGAGTGCAGCGTAAAACAATAAATGATTCTACACGATTTGCTCATCTAGAGATTGGAAGCTTCATCCAACCCCTTTTGAAACCATGTACTTGTTATTTGTCCGTTATGTTGATGTATGCAAAAAAAACCTTAAGCTCTGTCTGATAATATAGAGAGACTGCAATTTTCAGGTCTTTTCACAGATTTCAATTGAATTTATGTCTGGACTTTGAGCCCTTCTAACAGAATATGTGTTTTGTTTTTAACTGTTGCGTTGTAGCTCACGCTTTATGTTTAGTGTCATCGTCCTCCTGGAAAGAAATTGTTTTGCTGACTCCAGAAAGTCCTCCGGGACCCGCACCATCAAGCGTGCTGCGTCAACCCTCTTAAATACTGCTCTTCATGTATTTTCAATTGGGAAAAGGCCAAAACTAAAATCCACCTCATAACCCCAGGCAAATCGCACCCCAGTTATAAATATTGTATAAAATAGCAAACTCGAGTTTCCCCAAAAGTGAGACGGATGTAATGTGCAGGTCTGAGTTGGTTTTGTCAGCTCCTGAGATCGCACCGCTCTGATGAATGTTGACAGACCAGTTCAGGGGCTGCAGGGCACACTCCAAACACGACGCTCATCAAAAGGACAATACAGGCACCGAGCACATCCAAAAACATATCCCAGTACAACAGAAGGCTCCGCAAATGTAATAAAATCAGATATGGTAAATAATATCAGGTCAAGTAAGGTTACAACAACTGCATTGAGTTTTTTTCAATTCAGAATATCACTTTTACAATACACACTTTTGTTTATTTATGTACTTGTCTGGTGCACACTGGGGACTCTTGCACATGTATTCCAATGTGGTTTTGCTGCAAATGACAAAAGTGATCTGAATCTAGGCTTCTTTTGGGCCACTGTGGAAAAAATGAAGGAAGCTATATAAGCTTAATGTAAATATGGTCTTGACAAAATTAATAATAACAGAAGAACAGATAATACACACACGCCCGCACACACACACACACACACTGAGGCATTACCCTTTCCTCGACATACTATTTTAAAAAAAGAACGGAAGTAAGTAAGTAATCTTTATTCATACCGCCTTTCTCAGACCAGAGTCACAAAGCGGTTTACAATTGTGGGCATTTGTCACTCCACACAGAGATGGGAGTGATGTCGCCAGTACAGGAGGCGCATGCCAGACCTATTGTACAGGTTTTTAAGGGTAGGGGAAACCTATGCACACACGGGGGGAGAACATGCAAACTCGACTCGGAAGGCCCTGTTCCGACCGGGATTCGAACCCAGGACCTTCTTGCTGAGAAGCAAGAGTGCTATCCACTCAGCCCCAGTGCCGCCCAAGTACATGTTAACCTGATCCAAATGAAAGATTTTTTTAATTCCTCTGTTAATCAGTTCTAATATTATCTCCACACACAGCAATACACAATTATTATAAAGTTCGAAAGATAGCTAGACCTTTATTGTCCCAAGGGAATTCATTTCCACAGACACTGTCACATACATAGAATGAATAAATG